CCCTAACACAACAGGGCCGCTTGATCATGGACAGAAAGCTCTACAGCTGTGAGCCAAAGTGAACCTTTTTTCTTTCTAAGTTGATTGTCTCAGGTATTTGTTGCAGTAACAGAAAGCTGACTAGCAGAATCCATGAACAGTGTTCTGATCGGTCAGCAAAGTTTGAGTATGTGCCATATAGCAAGGGTTTCCAACTTCCCCAGGGCTGGAACTTTTGCTGGAGTTTCAGGGTGCTTTGGGCTTCTGGATAAAGACTAGACTTTCTGTAGACATCTATAGGAATATCTGGCTGCTCTGCCCAAACGAGGAAATGGTACTCCTAGCTTTTGGATGCCCTGTCCTCTCCTTGACTCCAAAGAGAACCACTCTCTGCCAACAGAGGACCTCATAGTGTGTCTTTTCAGGTGGATTAAAGCCTCAGGGCAGCTTCCTGAACAGTCAGATGAGGGGGTAAATGAGAAGTAGCCTCAAAAATTCATGGTTAAATGCTTTGTGATATTTTAGTATTAGGCAATTGCTTTATTTATTTTTGTTTTTTGGAGATAGGGTCTCACTATGTAATTCAGGCTGAGCTTGAACTCACCAGGTAACTCAGGCTGGCCTTGAACTCATGGGGATCCTCCTGTCTCAGCCTCTGGAGTGATGAGATTACAGGTACCCACCGGTATGCCTGGCTGGCAATTGTTTTATTTTTTTATTTTTATTTTTTTTTTGTCTTTTTCATTTTTATCGGTACCGGGGATCGAACTCACGACCGCCTGCTTGCAAGGCAGGTGCTTATGCCGCTGAGCTAAATCCCCAGCCCCTAGTATTATATATCTAATTTTTTTTTTTGTCTTTTTCATTTTTATCGGTACCGGGGATCGAACTCACGACTGCCTACTTGCAAGGCAGGTGCTTATGCCGCTGAGCTAAATCCCCAGCCCCCAGCAATTGTTTTAAAATACACATTTTGAAAGATAATAACTGGCTGGGGATTTAGCTCAGCGGCCATAAACGCCTGCCTTGCTAGCAGGCAGTTGTGAGTTCGATCCCTGGTACCCATAAAAACGAAACACACACACACACCCACCCACCCACACACACACACACACAAAAACGCTGAAAGATAATAACTGTATGTATTCTTTTTCTGAAATATAACAAATACCAGACAGAATTGTGTCACACAGAGAAAAGGTTTGTTTTGGCTCGCAGTGTTGGGGTTCCAGTCTCTGAGGCACTGGCCCCATTGTGCTGGGCATATGAAGAGGCGGTGTGTTGTGGCAGTGAGCATGGGCTGGAGAAAACCCATCAGGTGCCCTGCTCAGAAGGCATAAGAGGGAGTCGCCAGTACTGCAACCCCCTTTAAGGTGCACCCCTCTTTGTGACCTAAGACTTTCACTAGGCCTCACCTCCTGGGCATGGCCACCTCCTCTTAGCCACAGCCTATGTAATGAATAACCCTTTGGGGGACACTTATCCAAACCATAACAATTTACATATGAGAAACTGTTCAGACAGAATATTCAATGAGATAATGTGGAATTAAGTGTGTCTTTATTTGGCGCATATATATATATATATATATATACATATATATATATATACAGATATTGTAAAAAGAATGCAAATAAAATTTTGTGTAAGTAGAAATAAAAACAAAACAAGAAGGGTCACTGGGGCTATTGCTCAGTGGGAGAGCATTTACCAGTATGCGAAAAGCCTTGAATTTAATATGCAGGAGGGCAAGAAGAGAAGAGGGAGGGGAATAGAGGGGGAGAGAAGGAGGAAGAGGAGGAAGAAGAGGAGGACAGAAGTCTCTGGGCTGCAGTGAAAGTCTCATCAGGGCCAAGTACAATCCTTTGTAATCCCAGCTGCTCAGGGTTGCAAATTTGAGGCCAGCCTGACCCTGTCTCAAAATCAAAAGCACTGGGGCTGTAGTTCAGTGTTCCCCGGACTCAGTCCCAGTGGTACAGGGGGTAGGGGGGCCATCAGACTGTGTTTCTTCTGGAGCTGAGGGGAGAATCCATTTCCCGCCCGCTCAGCCTTATTTCCATCATCATGGGTCCTTACAGAAACGCTCATTCCAGTGAAACTCATCTGCTCCCTGATCTGTATCCAACACCCCTGAGAGTGTCACCTTTGGTCACCTTCTGAGATGCTGATGACAAGATGGGATTAGACTTGCTGGAATTTGTTAGGAAAAATGGCTGTGAGTGAAAGTGGAAGGGGAAGGGGAGGCTGGGAGAGCCACCTGAGGAGGGGAGCAGGGGGCAGGGAAGGGGGCGCCTCAGCCCCAGGGTAGCCCCTGGGAATGCAGGCAAGCCTTGTCTGGACTGCAGGGGAAACTGCCTCAAGGCCACGCCTACCTCCCTGCCCAGTTGAATCCAGTTTCCCTGCCCAGCTGAGTCCCTGGCTGCCACTGCAGGGCCTTGGCCTAAAAGCAAAGCCCAGCAGGCAGGGCCAGGCAGTCAGAGATCTGAGCAGCACATTCCTATGGCTGCCAGAGCGGGGCTTCATGGTAATCCGAAGTGTCAGCCCCAGTCACCAGGTAGGGGGAATGATCAGCGGACTGGAGCACACTGACCAGCACGCCTCGGGTCAGCCCGCCTTCTCCCTGCCTTTCTCTGTCCCTGTTAACCTTGGCTGTTCTCTCCAGGAAGCAAGGATTAGAACTAACCAAGCCATCCTTACAAGACTACATTCAGGGTGTTTGGAGAAAAGAATGCCAGGAGAGTGACCAGGAGAAGTCTAATAAGTCTGGACTTAATCCTGAGGCAATAGGGAGCCGCAGAATACTTTAAGGGAGGATGAGCAGGGAGTGAGCGATTCCTCCTGATTTCCAAATGGGAAAATTCAAGGTGCCCTGGAGGATGGGCTAGAAAGGGGAGGAGTGGAGGCCGTGGGCAGGAAGAACGATACCAGGGCCTTTACCTGGGAGGGACAGTGGCAGAGGACAGAGGGAGGCCCATCAGAAGGACCTTAAGGAGGTAGAATTTATGGACATGGTGACCATAACAGGTGGCCTGTTAGAAGAATGTAGAGATAAGAATGGTAGCAGGGGGCTGGGGATTTAGCTCAGCGGCATAAGCACCTGCCTTGCAAGCAGGTGGTTGTGAGTTTGATCCCCGGTACCAAAAGAATGGTAGCAGGAACAGAAGTATCTGAGGTTTTTTCCCCACCTTTCCCAAAGGATTTTGTGTCCATCACTTTTCACAGCCTTCTCTCCTCCTCCTAAGCCGTTCCTGAGGTCACAAAGGGCATTTGGGCAGAATCCAGGCAGTTGCTCTCTGAGGCTGACCCAGGTGGGCATCCTTGGTGCTGACCAATCTGTACCTCTGAATTTACTGTGCACCATCTGCCGTCTCCCCACTGCCAGACCATATGATCCAAGAGGCAGAGGCTCTTTCTCCTTTTGGTGTATGGGGTTCTGAAAATGCATTTATGGAATGAAGAAAAGAACCAATAGTCCTATCAGTGCTTCCCAGATGAGGGCTGGGCTTTAGTCTTAACTAGCTGTGATTCACCCCTTTAAAGTATGCATACCTTTTTTTGGTTCTGGGAATTGAACTCAGGACTTTGTGCTTGTCAGGAAGGCACTTATGCCCTTTTTTGTTTGTTTTTGAGTTAAGTTCTTGCTACATAGTTCAGGCTGATCACAACTTATTGTGTAGCCCTTGAGCTCACAATGTGGCCCTCAACTTCCCAATTCTTATGTCCCAGCCTTCTGGGTGCTGGTATATATGCGGGCCACGATGTACATCCATAAAGTATTATCTTGTAAAGTTTAGGTTTAAAGTAACATCCTTTCATCTAACAAACAAAAGCCCCTGTCCAATAAATTTTCCTACAACATGGCATTTAAACACATTATCACAAAGACGATTTATTTCAATATTTGTAAAAAAAAAAAAAAACCAGTAAATCTCGAACCACAATGATTTGTTGAATAAATTATGGCGCATCTAGGTGAAAATAAGCCATTAAAATAACAATCGTTTTTGATAGCTATTCTAAGACGGTAAAATACAATGCAATTTTTTTTGGGCAAATAATCTAGTTCATAAACCCTTAACTAGAAAGGTAAACTTAACGCGGGGGGGGGGGGGCCATGGTGGCTCACTCCTGTAATCCCAGCGGGAGGCTGAGGTGGGAGGATCCTTGCGAGTTCGAGAACAGCCTGGGCTACAAAATGAGCTCAAGGTCAGCCTGAACTGCGTAGCGAGACCCCCGTCTCAAAAAGACAAAAAAAAAAAAAAAAAAAAAAAAGAGATAAACCTAACACTGTGCCTGACGTTTGTATCCAGGTAATAGCATTAAAGGACTTCACTTCTTAGGATTTTTTTCCTCTAAATTTTTTACAGTAAGATTGTATTTTGTAATAAATGAAAACAACTTTTCATTCTTTAGCGGGAGTTAGCCATGCCAAAGGTCATTGTAGAGTTAGATTAGCTGACCTCTACAAGAGTTCGCTTCTTCAGCAAAAAGCAGCTGGCAGCCACAAGTGAGAGCACTTTTCGGAAAGGCAGAGAGCCATTGTCAGGAAAAAAAGGAATAATCATGGTTTTAAAAACTCATTTCTCATGAATGTTGTGAGAATCGAGTGGTTGGGGAAGGATGAAATACGTGAGCTTATATATCAGCAGAGGAAATCTCGTTCTCATAGGCATTCTCGCCTGACATTTATCAAATGAATATACAAGGAAGCGGCGAAAATCAGATTCGTTTTTAAAAATGTAAAAGAAAAGCAAGTCCTCATCATCTCCGAACTGAAACTGTGGAAAAACTGAAAATTCACGCAAAAAGGTTAAAAACAACAACAAAAAAATGCTAGCGCAATTGTATTTCTCAAAACAACCACACAGCGCGCCACGCTACACTTCCCAAGCACGTAGCGAGTTGCTTAGATCCGAAACGTGAGACGCCCCGCGTTACCGGAGCACAGCCAATCAGAGAGCAGAATGGGCCGGGCCTTGTTACTGATTGGAGGTGCGGGCGGGGCGGGGCTGCGGCCTCGAGCGTGCGCTAGCGTGGCCTCGGCGCTGCTGCAGCCTCTGGGCAGTTGGGACGAGAGTCCTGGTTTCCGCGTGCGCGAGCCCTCCGCTGCAGCTCGTTCCTAACGGCGCGCTTGTGTCGCTATGCCGGCAGACGTCAGCAAGTGGACTGGGCCCTTGAGCCTGCAGGAGGTGGATGAGCAGCCCAAGCACCCATTGCGGGTGTCTTACGGCGGGGTAGAGGTGGACGAGCTGGGCAAAGTGCTGACGCCCACTCAGGTACCGCGGGCGGGAGGCGCTGCAGGCCGCGTGCGCAACGTCCAGAGGGGTCGGGTCGTGGTGTCCACGCCGCAGGCGGGGGAGCCGCCGCGAGATCCCGGGGAGCGAGGCGGTGTTGGCAGCGCTCGGCCGACGGAAGACCTTGGTTCACTTTCCTGAAATTTCTAGGGACGGGGAAGCTCAGGCGCAGAAACACCCTGGATCCAGGGGGCAGGGCTGAGTAGGCGTCTTGCTGATCCCGGAGTGGAGTGAGCTGTGCCCTCCCGAACGTCCCGGAGGCCTCCTGAGGTCTTAGCATTTTGGGCCTAAGTTTGGAGAGCAGGTGCCCCACCCGACAGTGACGCATTATGTAACCGGCGATCGGCGTCTCCCCGCGATTTCTCCTTTGTTTTAGCGGTCAAGAGCGTGCAGCTAGCCAAAGCGATGTGCTCTGCAGCTGGTTGGCCTTGTTTTACCCTTTTGTTTTTGGCCCCTCATGCCCGGCCTGGACTGCTGAGAGTGGAGAAACTTAGATTTCTCCATACGGTTACTAGTTACTGGTTATGAAGCTGCTGGCAATGGTGAATAAATTACCCTAGTTTTCACTCTTTAGGAGTTTATTGTTCTACGTGTTTTAAATACGAAGTGCACAGCTTGGAGGTTTTGCCTTTCTGTTCATTACCCAGCTGCCCAGCTCGCTTCTTGCCCACGCTTTCTCTTTTTTAGTTTTTGCATTGTTAAATGTCTAGTTAATGCAGATTTATTCCATTCTAGCAGGCACCAAGTAACTTCCTGGTCTTCAAATCTAGAGACTTTGTCGTTCCAGACAGAGTGTAAGTTATGGTTGAGAGGAGGCCCTGGGGCCAGGGTTCAAATACTGGCCCAACCTCTTTTTGTTGTTCACCTGCAAGGATTCTTGCCCCAGAGTATTGTTAAGACTGATGTAATTAATGTACAGATATAAAACTTGGGCTCCGGGCATCCAATGCAGGCAAAACCCAGTAACATTTATGAATAATTGACTGTTTTACCTTGGAGGAGACTGAGATTAAAGAAATAGTTGGTCTCTTCAGCGTTTCGGCTTTTTAACTCTGACCTGGCTCCTCTCCACAGGTTAAGAACAGACCCACCAGCATCTCCTGGGATGGTCTGGATTCAGGAAAACTCTACACCTTGGTCATGACAGACCCAGATGCTCCCAGCAGGCAGTCTCCCAAATTCAGGCAAGTTGGGGGAAGATAAAGGGAGCCCCCTGCCTGGTGTAAGTCCCTGCTGGACAGAGAGAATTTAGACCTGGTTTGGGATGCTTTGCTTAAGCTGGAGCATCCATTTCCTGCCTCTTTGTCCTTGAGTGGTGATTGGTAAACTACCACCAATAGTCATCTCTATCTGAGGCTGTTTGGCCCCAAATTAAAATTCAGATTCCATTGTCCAATAAAGAGTTGAGTCAGAACATAAATACGATAGTTTATGTATGTCTCTGTGGCTGCTTTCCTCCTGCAGTGGCCAAGAGAGTCATAGAGACAGATAATACAGATTACAAAGCTGCAAACCTGAGAAACATTGCCCTGGGGCCCTTTCCAGAGAGAGTTTGCTGACTTCTGCCCCAGAGAAGCTCAGTGAGGGAGGGTCTGGGTGCTGTCTTTGCAGACACAAGGTTTGCACCTGCCAGTAAGGCAGGACCTGTGTCTCGCTCATCGCTGTGTCCTGGCCCACGACCTGTGCTTGGTGCATACCTGCCATCTGCACAGTGACTGTCCTAACCTGTGGTGCTGACAGGCTGTGTTCTTGCACACAGGGAATGGCACCATTTTCTGGTGGTCAACATGAAGGGCAACGACATCAGCAGTGGCACAGTGCTCTCCGATTATGTGGGCTCCGGACCTCCCAGTGGCACAGGTTGGTAAAGGCTGATAATTCCAGGGGTGGGAGGCAGGAAGAGAGGCTGGATTACACATTAGGATTCTTTTTACTTTTGAGCGCACTGGAGGGAGAAGGCTGCTGGGGTTCCTTTAGGGCATTTGCCTGTCGAGTACATTCAGACGTCCAGGAGGTGGGGTGGATGGCACTTTGGGCTCTGAGCCTTCAGTAGGCAGGGAAGGAGTGGAGGAGGACACAGTGTTGTTGGAGGGTTTTCTGGGGCTGAGCACAGTTGAGCATCTCTGTTCTGTATTCAGCCTTTGGCTTATGTGATTTTTGAATTTCTAATTCCTGTAAAGAGTCTCATGGTTTTCACCTTAATTACCAAAAATTAGCTAGTATGTCTCTTCATGGCTCCTCCTTTCTCTTCAAAATATAGTTTGGTATCTTGAAAGGATCTGGACATCTTTAGTAGAACTATATCGAAGAGATGCTACACACCAGGTCACTCTTCTTTGACGTAAAGCATAGTGAATGAGTGATAGTTACCTTGTGACACCCCACATCAGATGAGTGTCCCCTGAGGGTGCAGCATAATTGCTTGTTGAGGGGGTGAGTACTGCAGCATGTTCCCATTTGCAGGGACAGGCAGGTGATGGTGGGTGAAGCAGGCAGAAGAGGTCTTGTACGGGCTGTCCTCTCACGGAGAAATGTAAGAAGGGACTGTCAAGGACCGTTGGTCATGGCCTCATGTTTTATTTGCAGACCCAGAAGCTTCCAGATGATTTTGAGCCCTCATGCATTCATAATAAGGCAAAGGGATAGGTTTCCTAGGGATCTGTTAAGTTCTCTAGGGCAGTTACAGAATTAGGCAATTTAATTATGGGGAGTATCCACATGAGCATAAAGAATTCTCTCGAGAAGGAGCTGTGTTCTCATTTGAAAAACAAGCCTTGGTAACTCACCCCCCCCCCTTTTTTTTTTAAGATTCTTCTAGTAAGGTCTGCTGTCCAAATAGTAAATAGGTACAGATCACAAGATTTCAGGCAGCATGTGTGGGGATTTTAGAAAGACAGAGGTCATTTGTATCGCCCAAGTTTTTTGGTTCGTGATGACTTTTTATTTGAAACCCCCAAAGCTCATTATTTTTGTACCTGTCATGATAGGTCATTTTTGCCCTGTTGATAGTCGGATGGATGGTGTCACGCAGTGTGATTTGTGGCTTTCGTTCCGCATCCAGCCAAGTTAATGTTTGTGTCAGTCACTTGTTCTTTTTCATTGCTAGGTGGTTTTGCCCTGTGCACCATGGTTAGTTTAGCAGCCCCTCCAAAGGACATTGTTCCCAGTACTCAGCTCTGATGAGTAAAGCGACTGCACACATCCCTGTCATTCTGTGGGCAGGTGTTACCACTTGGGTAAATATCTAGCAGCAGAATTGTGGATCATAAAAGGTTCCCAGGAATTCTGGGAAATGGTTGAAAACTTTATACTCTAACCAACATATCTGAGGATATCAGTGGATCCATGGACAATCCCTGTAGTTCCACACGAAGATTAGATATTGTTGGCCTTGCCCAGCATGGTGGTACATGCCTGTTATCCCAGTTCTTGGGAGGCAGAGGTAGGCGGCCTGCTGTGAGTTTGAGGCCAGCCTGGGCTGCGTAGCTGAAGGCCAGCCTATACTATAATAGCAAGACCCTGTCTCAAAAAGAAGATAAGATTTTTTTTTTCCCTTCTTTTCTTTTTTTGTGGTGTTAGGATGCAACTCAGGGCCTCATGCCTGCCAGGCAAGGGTTCTACCACTGAGCAACACTCCCAGCCTTTTCAAACATTTTTATCTTGAGACAGGGTCATGCATATTTACCTAGGTTGGTCTTCAACTTGGAACCCTCCTGCCTCAGCATCCCAGGTAGGTAGGATTTCAGGCATGTGTGTGTTCTGCTGTTGGTCCTTTTTGACTTTAGACATTTCGAGTGTGTGTGAAGTGACATTTAGTAACTTATTTTTAAACTGTAGTAAAAACATAAATTTCACTGACTTAGCTCTGTAAGTGTACAGTTTGTTAGTGTAAATTATAGTCACGTTATTGTGAAACTCTTATCCAGAACTTTTTCTTTTTTTTTTTTTATTGGTACCAGGGATCGAACTCACGACCGCCTGCTTGCAAGGCAGGCGCTTATGCCGCTGAGCTAAATCCCCAGCCCCTATCCAGAACTTTTTCATCTTCACAACGGGAAGCTGTATCCACTACATAGCAGTAACCCACTTCTGCAGCCTTCCTGGAACCACTGTTCCCCAGTCTGTTCGCTGAGTTTGACTGCTTTGCGTAACTCACCATGATATCTTTGGGGTTCATCCATGTTGCAACACGTGTGTCAAAATATTTTTTTTTAGGTGGAATAATACCACATTGTGGATATACCACATTTTGTGGATATACCACATGCTGTTTAATAACCAGTCCTTAATTGATGGACATTGGGTTGCTTCTGGCTCTTAACTACAGCAAGGAACATTAATATGCAGAAGTATACGTAACTTAAAAATAACTTTTGAAACAAGCTCTTGATGCCCATTTGTGTCTAGTACTTAATTGGATCTCAGAGGAAGCTGCATAGTTAGCCAGGTGAGGCAGCACATGCCTAACTCCAAGCTACTTGGTAGGTTGAGGCAGGAGGATCCAGAGTTTCAGGCCAGCCTGGGCAATTTAGTGGTACCCTATCTCAAAATGAATCGAAAGTGATGGGGATATAGCTCAGTTAGTGGATGCCCCTAGATTTGATCCCCAGGGCTATACACAGAAGAAGAAAAAAATAAGGTGCACAGTTAGTTTAATAGGGTGGTTGCTGATTGCTTCTAAAACATTCTTTGCTGCTGGCTTTGGTGGCGCACACTTGTAATCCCAGCACTTGGGAAGCCTGAAGTAGGAGAATCACTGTGAGTTCAAGGCCAGTACATGTTACATTGTAAGCTCAAGGCCAGCCTGGACTACATAGCAAACCCTGTTTCATAAAAAAAAAAAAAATTCTTTGCTGTGATTAAGAGAGTTTGGGTCATTTCAAAACAAGTCTGTAGTCTTCCAAAAAAGTATGCTGAAGAGCTGGGAAGATAACACTCCCCATTAGCCTGCCTTGGCTTGGCAGTGGTGTGATAGCCCCCACCCTGAGATTTGACTTTTCCTCTGTCCCTTTCTCGTGTATTATTTACTGCTTCCTGTGTCTGGGCATTTTAGAGTGATAGGACTCGACAGGACAAATAGCATAGCTTTATGCAAGTTTTACTTCTAGCAGGGGGATTAAGTTACAGAGTTAGATCTTTGGTTACTGATGTTACTGAGGTGGGAGGGAGGCATTGTGGTGGGAATGGCTGAGATGGGCCAGAAGGGTGGGATGGACCTCAAGAGGAGCAGAGAGACGTGGAGATGAGGTTCAGGCTGGGCAGAGGCTGGAGCCTGCAGGGCATCAGAGGCTGAGGTGGTGGGTTTGAGCCAAATCCCTGGCAGCGGCCTTGCACTGGCAGTGTTCAGTGGACGTGGGGCCTGGCATACTATCTTGTTGAAGTGGTTGATGAGAACAGGTGGTGGCTCTGCCTCAGGGGCCTCCTGCATGTATATCTTCGCTCTGCCTCTCCCCTCAGGCCTCCACCGATATGTGTGGCTGGTCTACGAGCAGGACAAACCGCTGAAGTGTGACGAGCCCATCCTCAGCAACCGATCTGGAGACCACCGAGGCAAGTTCAAGGTGGCCTCCTTCCGCAAGAAGTACCATCTCGGGCCCCCAGTGGCCGGCACGTGTTACCAGGCAGAGTGGGACGACTATGTGCCCAAACTGTATGAGCAGCTGTCCGGGAAGTAGGGCAGACTCCACAAGGTCCTGTGGTCCTGGAAACCCCAAGCAGTGTTACCAAGTTCATTCACCGATGCATGTAGATTTCTCCTTTGTCCCATTCCCTTTGCGCGGTGAGATCTAAGCTGTCCCATAGTGGTTTAGGGTGACTTTTCCTGACACTTGTCCTTTCGGATTCTAGCTTGTCACACATCCCAGTTTATGTTTGTATGTTTGGGTCAAATTTGAACTCCCATTTTGGGGGATATTTTGGTACTGTGTTGGGATCATATTGGTAAAAGCATAGCAACCCAAGATTTAAGGAAGAAAAAAAGCCAGGCAAAAAGAACCGGGTATATAGGGAGACAGTAGATTATCAAGGAGTGTGTAAGGGAGGCTGAAAAAGAAAGAAAAAGATTGATTGTCATAGCCTTCAAGAGTCGGAGTCCAGTGTTGTACACAGTGGGAGCAGCAGGAGGCTCCCATCCTGGGTAAATCAGGACAGGACGTTCCATCTCCTCCAGTGGCCTAGAAGGTTTCACAGTCCTGCTCTGGTGCGGTGCTTTAAAGGGCACAGCTGGAAACGGCAGTGAAGGGATGGCTTTGCTCTTGCTGAGGCCTGATTAGTAAGGGGTGGGAGGGACAGATCAGCAGGTTCCTTAGATTTAATGTCTGCTAAATTGGTCACTTGTCACTGGCCTGAGAAACGCTGATCTAGCTTTGCTTACTGTTGTGTTAATTCTGGTGTTTGCTTATTGTTGAATAAAAGTGAAAACTCTGGACAATCTCGACCTCCGTGTGTTTTGCTTGAGTGTGGGTTTCATAAAAGGGGAAAGTCAGAAGATGGCCCCTGAGGGTGAGTGGCCTTTCCTGCACGCAGGAGAGGCTGGATCTGATCCCCGGGCTCCTCTCTCCAGAACAGCTTCACAGGTGCTGGCAGCTACGGCAGGAGCAACCTTCAGATTTGAGGTTCTTAAGGACTCTTGTACGACTTCAGGCAGTGTTTATTTGACTCAGAGAGATCCTTTGCTTGATACAAGATCATTTTGAGCTAAGAAAGTTCTATTTTTTTCTGCACTGCTAGGGATGGAACCCAGGGCTTTGGGCATGCTAGATAAACGCTCTCCCACTGAGTCATCCCCAGCAGAGAACAACGATTCAAAGCTAATTGACAACTCTACCCCTAGGGGTAGTTGTGCAGACACTATGAGTGGGCCTTAGAAATCACCTGTGTCCCCTCATGGTCTGGTTTGGTTTTGTCCTTTTTGTGTTCTTCTGGGGTTCTGGGGGTTGAACTTAGGGCTTTTGCACTGAGCAATATCCCTGACGCCTTTTTAATTTTTGTTTTGAGCTAAGATTTCAAGAAGTCATTGAATTGGCCAGGCTGGGCTTAACCTCACTGCCTCAGCCTCCTGTGTCACTGGAATTAACAGGTGTGTGTCACGGCCTGGCTATGCGGTGCTTTCTTCAAAACACTTGGAAGTGTCACCTAATATACTCTCTGGGGGAAGATAAGGTAAAAAGAACTTTTAAACTTGAGTATTTTAAGATTTATTTTTAAGGGGCTAGGGATTTAGCTTAGCAGCATAAGCGCCTGCTCACAAGCAGGCAGTCGTGAGTTCGATCCCTGGTACCAATAAAAACAAAAAAGACAAAAATTTATTTTTAAATATGGTTTTATAAAATAAGTTACAGAGAAAACAAGTAACTATTCCACTGGCCTTAGTGTAGAGTTGAGCACAGTGGTGAACGCCTGTAATCCCAGCCACTTGAGATGTTGGGGGAGGAAGATCTCCAGGTGGGAGCTGGACAATTTAAAGAGACTCCATCTCAGCCGCTGGGATGTAGCTCAGCGGTACAGCACTCACTTAGCATGTATGAGGCCCTGGGTTCAGGTCCCAGTTCTAGAAGAAACAGTTGGACAGGGTGTAGTTCAGTGGTAAAATACATGCTTTATATGTTTCAGGTCCTGGATTTATTCCTAGTGGGAGGGAAGGAGGAGCAAAAGGAAGGAAGAAAAATACCTTCCCTACAGTTTCTCCTCAGTAGCAGTTACTGGTTTGTTTTTTTTGTTTGTTTGGTTGGTTTTTGGTTTTTCTTCCAGAAGAAAATATAGTTACACACACATATCCACATATTCTCGAAAAAAAGGTCCTAGTATATACATTTCTAAATGTTTCATACTTTTTCTTTTTTTCTGTAATGGAGATTGAACCCAGAGCCTTCATCCTGAGCTATATCTACAGCCCTTTTTATGTTTTGAGACAGGGTCTTAGTAAAAATAAGTTGCCAAGGCTAGGCTCAAACTTGCAATCTTGTCTTAGCCTCCTAAAGTACTATTATACAGGCATTATACCCATCTCTGCTTTTTTGTTTCCAAACTAATACAGTTCATATAATATATCTTCAGTTAAGTCACTATAATTCACATCATTTTGAACAAATAATTTTATAGATGTCCTGTAGTGGTAGAGGACACATCATAGTCCTTTACTATCATGTATAGGTTATTCCTGGTTATTTACTATTATAATCAGTTCTTCAGCAAACAGTTTTCCTATATGTGGGTTGTTGCAAGGAATTTTGTAGGGGAAATTGCTCTAGAATTTGAAATAACTACATCAGCGAGTACACACACATTCAGTTCTTTTTTATTTTTTTTAATGGGTACCGGGGATCGAACTAACGATCGCCTGCTTGCAAGGCAGGTGCTTATGCCGCTGAACTAAATCCCCAACCCACACATTCAGTTGTAATAGCAGCAAACTGCCCTCCAAAAGGATAACAGTGGAGCACGAAAGTCCCTGCTTTTCCATACCCTCCCGTCTTGTCAAGCTTTATGCATTTTGACAACTTGATATTTATGTACATTTAAGGTTGCTAAGCTGTTTCTTCTGAGATTATTTTGCTAATCATGAAGTCCTTTTGAAGTTATAGTCTGAAGACAAATGAGGAAATAATGTCAGCTTCTCTGCCTAAAACAGATGTGGGCACAAGTGACTCAGGAGAAGGTGACCTCTAAGGTGAAGGGGTACGCAAAAGAAATTTATGTGGACAAAGTGTCAGAGCCTATCAGTCCCCTCAGAAATGAGGAGCTTGGGAGAGCAGGTGAGCGCACCCAAGGGTACCTGGTTAAGAAGTGAGCGCCCACCCAGCTCATAACCATGGTGCCCACCGGGGCACAAATTCCAGCTTTGCTGTCTGAAAAAAAAGGGGACTCAGGTCACTTACTGCATTATTTACTTCCCAGGGTTGTTGGAGAACAGCAAGACAAGTCTCTTGCTGAGAGTAAGTGAATAAAGCAAGTATGGAAGTGGTTAAACTGAACTCTGTTGACTTCAGGACGAAGTCCCAAAGCCTCTTGCCTTAGAACTGGGTTCTGGCGACTTGCTTAGCAGGAGTGGGCTCACGAGGGTTTGGAATGAGGGCAGCAGCGTCTAGCACGGTCCCACTGTAGCAGCCCTGCGCAAAGCCAGGATTTGTAAGGGTGATTAAACCTTGGAGACCACTCACTATTGTGACCCATCAATAGATGGTGATGTCCAGCATGCTGATGTTTCCTGGGACAAAACACCCAACATCTGCAGTTTAAAGGAAAGAGCTTTATTTTTGCTCCTGCTTTCAGCCCATGATTGGCTCGCAGACAGAATGCAAAGGAAAAGGTGCTCAAGCCATGGCAGCCGGGAAGCCGAGCACGAGATGAGAGAGCCAGGGCAAAGAATTCACCCTGTCCCACCCCCTTATCCACCTCCAACCAGGTCCCAACTAATAGCACATTCAGCTACTGAACCAACTGCAGTGGGGGAGTCCACTGATGAGTCACACTCCGGTGATCCAGTCACCTTCTAAGACATCAGACTTCTGGGGACGTTTTCTTTTTTTTTTTTTTTTGTCTTTTTCTTTTTTATCGGTACCGGGGATCGAACTCACAACTGCCTGCTTTCAAGGCAGGCGCTTATGCTGCTGAGCTAAACCTCCAGCCCCATCTGGGGACGTTTTCCATCCAAACCATAGCACATGCTGATCACTGGAAGTCCTGCATTGCACTCCTGAGCAGACGAGACCAGCTCTGAGGAACACAGGGATAGACTCCCTCGTACTTAAATCCAACAAGACACAACCCAAATCTGTTCTCAGATCAGTGCCCTGTCAAGCAGCCTCGTGTCCACTGAACACCCACCAAAGCCTGCAGGCACTCCTGGGGTGGGGGCTGAACCCTGCACACGGCCTTTCAGGCTTTGTGGGCTCTGCCCTCATTTGCCTCTCTACTTCCGAGGCCACTGTTTCAACCCCAAACTTGCTGCTGCCTCTCAGTTCCTGGCACATGCCATTTCTTTCCAGTTTTGGTCCTTTGCAAGTGCTGCCTAGAATCTTTCCCTACTACTGTCTTAGACAGTAATTCATTTTCCTGTACTCCATTGCTGTGGCATTGTAATGTTAAAATGTCTATATGTGTAATTTTAAAGTCAGTGTTTATTAGACTGGATCCTTCACAAGGGCAAGAACTGAACATTGTATTGCGTAGCCTGGCTCCTGACAAGGGCCCCGCGCATACTGAAGTCTCCAGGACCACTGGTAGAATGAGTGATTTTTAAAGGAGGTGTGAAGATTAGGGCCTTGTTTATAACCATTTACCACGCCATAAACGTCCCTTCTAGCCGGGTGCGCTGGCACATGGCTATAATCCCAGAGGTCTGAAAGGGGAGGCTGCAAGGCCAACTCGGGCACGTTAGTGACAGCAAGATCCTGTCTCAAAAAGGGCCAGGGCTGTAGCTTAGTAGTAGAGGGTCCTGGCATGGGAAAGAAATTCCTTTTCTCCTCCCCCAAAGTATACCCCAAAGTATACAAGAATTCATGTACAATCCCGTTCTCCTACAACTCTACATCCCATTCAGCAAATCCCTGGTTTTGATGACCACAAATGTATGGATCTGTGGGGTCCCCTCTTCTCAGGGATCTTCATCTTTTAGATTTTCATTTTTCATCTTATTCTCTTGACTGTTAGTCCCAGCCCGCTTTCCCCATTGTACCTTTTCCTTGGCAAATCTAAATGGTTAGGAAATTTCCAGCACTTGATTTAATGGGATTATTGGTGTGGGTGGGATTGATGGTCTTCTATTTTACTATATGTTTCTGTTTATCCACTTTTATTAGTACAAGTTTATAATACATAATGGTGATGTTCATTTTGGGAATCTGGCACATGGCTATAACACACCTTGATCATTTTTGATACTTTTGTTCTTCTCCTTTACCTCCCCCTTCCTTTTCTGAGCCAGGCAGGCAGTCCATGCTGTGTGGCTCAGCTGCCCCAGACGCTGGACAGCCTCAGCCCCTTGAGCGCCGGGACTATCAGTGGGCACCATGACGCCCATCTTTTATTATCCTTTAACATGTTTCCTCTCTTCTTCCTTTCTTGATTCTTTTTGGATTATTATATCTGTTGGATTTTAAAAATTTTTCTTTTTGGTAGTGTTGATGATTATAATAATTTTTCATAGTCTCCAAATAGAAACTACCACTGCGAGTGAGATGGAAAACACTGCAGCCACGCAGATTCTTTACTCCCCAATCTTTCTTTTATAGCTATAGTATAGATTACATTTGCAGTCATTAAAACCCTTCCCGTACTCTGTTTTGCTTTCAATAATGTTATATATTTACAAATGATGGGGAGGGAGGTGGGTTTATCCAGACTATTTACAATTGCTGTTATTCTTAAAGGTTCAAGTTTCCTTCTGATATCATTTCATGTCAGGATGAAAGGAATTTCCTTTTTGGGCGTGGTGATGCACATCTGTGATCCTAGCACTCTGGGAGGCTGAGGCAGGAGATTTATACAAGTTTGAGCCTGGTTCAGACAATTTAGCAAGACAATGTCTCAAAATAAAACAAAAAAAGACTTGCGGTGTAGCTCAGTATGAAGACCCTGAGGTCAGTGCTCAGGACCAGGGCAGCAGGGGTGGGGGGTTCCATTGCTTGTCCTTGAGACAGGATCTTGCTATGTTGTACAGGCTTCTTGAACTTGCAGGTTCAAGTGATTCTCCTGCCTTGGCTTCTTTTTTTTTTTGTCTTTTTCCTTTCTATTGGAACCGAGGATCGAACTTACGACCGCCTGCTTGCAAGGCAGGTGCTTATGCCGCTGAGCTAAATCCCCAGCCCCTTGTTTTTTTTTCCCGCGGCATTTCCTTTAGAACCACCTGCTGGAAATGCTTCTTTCCCTGCATCTGAGAATGGTTTTATTTCATCTTCATTCCTGTCTAGGTTGCTTCCATTTTCATTTTTAGTATGCACAGGTAGTTGGTTTTACCTTTTGTCTAGGTTTTACTTATATTCAGCAGGAGAGAGACTTACTATGCTAAACTTGAACAATCAAAACACTATTTTCATGACAATGTACACTGTTGGATTAAAATCAGAGGGGCTCCTTACCTGGTTCTATTTCCAGGTGTCTAGGGTAACTCTTTTCCCTTAGGTACGTAAGTAATTACAGATGGTGGCAAATTTAAGAAATGTGTGTTACCTGGTTAGACACCCTGGATGCCCCGTCTGTGCAGCTACTCTGCGTGCCTGGGAGTGCGCATTCTCACACTGTCGTGCCACGTAAGTCACTGCTAGGAATGAAGCAAGGCCAGTGCTGATTTTCCTCTGTTCCAGTGGAGATTTACACCATGAGCCTGAGCACAGCAGCGGTTTTGGATTTATTTTTTTGGTAAGGGGATCTAACCCAGGGTCTTCACTTGTCTTCCCTTCCCTAAACATTTAAATTGTTTTTATTCTTGGCCCATCTGAGGTATATAATGAATACATATACTCATGGTGGGTAGTCGGCACACGTACATGACACATCTGTTTTTACATCCCTTTCTCCCCTCCCCCTCCATCTCAGTCTCATTTCCAGGTGCCGAAGGTCTGTCTCCCTGCTTCCTGTCTATTTTCCTCTTTGACTTACTTATACATTGGGCTTCTCATATAAGAAAAACCATAGGATTTTTAAACTTGTGTAATCTGATACATTTTGAAACAGGGCCTTGCTAAATCGCTCTTTTGCCCAGGCTGGGTTTGAACTTGTTTCAGTCCCCCAGAGCTGGGATCCCAGGAATGTGCCACCACAGCCAGCTGTTTTGACTGCTACATCCCTGGGCACAAAAGTGGGTACACGCGTACTGATCCCGGCACTTCTGAGCCCCCTAACCCTTGCCCACTTTCCTCCTTGTATCCGTCACACTCATTACCATCTAAAATCATTTATCACTATTGCTGCTGCCTTTCTCCCACCTCTTATGCAAGCTGCCTTGAAGAATGGATCTTCGCCAGTTGGAAATACATTGATGTATCTCAAGCACCTGTGTGCACCACCTACAAGGCGCTCAATAAATATTCACTGAAGGAGTAATTATGAATCGATGGTTGGCAGCCACCCCTCCCCCATAGGCACGGCAGACCTACAGTGGTTCACATCAGGGGGTTTAGTGCACGTTGGGAGGATGCAGGACACTGCTCTCTGCCACTGTCCCAACATCACTTCAGTACCTGTTCTTTGCTGCCATCCTGGTCCCTGCCTTCCCTACCACCCCACACACAGGTGCCCAAAAATGGACAGGAGACTTGGGCCATACCAGGGGTTGGGAGCAGAGCCTCACACTCCTCCTTGGAATTCTGCTCTGGGACACATGACTGACAAACTTGCAGAATGGGAGAGTAGGTAAAAACAGCACCTACACCTCACAGACTTAAGGTCTTTTTGCAAGCTAGCTATTTTTCACCACAGATGAATGAATGAAATACAGTAAGGGGACTTTCTGCCTTACTTGAAGGTTGAACCTCCTTTTGGGTTTAGTCCTGGAATCAGACAGGTCCTGATTCAGACCATATGCCACTGCTTTACTCTGGTCTCTGCTTATTGTTTCTAAAATGGTGCACAGCATTGTCAGCATTCTGCACATAAACATGCAATACAGATTAACTTTTTCTGGGATAATTATTGCATTAGTCAGCTTTCCATTTTTTGACAAAATACCTTGGCTACTCACTTTAAAAGAAGGAAAGGTTTTGTTTCAGTTTCAATCCATGTAACTTGGTCTGCTACATCATGGCAGGGGCTTACTGTGGAGAACCCCGTTATCTGCTGAGAAGGGGATGGGGGTCCCAGTATTCCCTTTGAAGCATGCCCCAAGATGCCTTCCACTCGGCCCCACATTCAAGATTCTAACACCTCCCAGAGTGCTCCGGGTTGGGGACGAAGTCTTCAACTGATAGGCCTTTGGGGCCCACTTCAGACCCAAACTACAGCAGCTGCATATCTTCTTTCCACCCCCCCCCCAACATTATTTTCACAAGTACCTAATATAGAAACGTCAGTGAATTGAGCTGCTTAGGAAACTGGGCAGTAATTATTAAAGGTTTTATGGTAGTGATTACTCATGTTGATAAGCTATCCTCATGTAGGATACAAGAATAAACTTTAGGTCACTCAAAAGAGCAATTTTCAATGGCTATGACTGACAAATCTAAGAATATGAGATGTTACACTGTCCTGGTTCGAAGTTACAAATTTTTGCAACCTCATGATTACACCTATGAAGTTATTCTAATGAAAGCAGAGGGAGGGATCACTCAGAGTATTTGGCTACCATGTTTTCTGCACAGCTTGCTTTCCCTAAGGGTATCCAACTTAACTCCTCAGCAGTGCATGCTCCTGTGTGCCCCTGGTAAGTGTGTATGTTTACACACGTGTGCCTTTATCACTAAAGGGCGGAGGTGCACTTGAGGAGGTCAAACAGTGAGACCCCATCCTCAGCCAAGGAGATTTGGAAGACGTGGCTTTACCTGCACTCTTGAATGGCATCTTCCTGGCACAGCCGAGGCATGGAGAAGGGTTTCAGGGAGGGTGTCTGTCCCTCTGCGCTTTCCCCGCGTGAACCTGGAAGGGAAACTTCCTGCTACAATAACACAGCAAGGCGATGTGATGAACACTTTTATTTACAAATATAATTAAAAGCTCTGACAGTTATCATGCTCTTCCTTGGAACCTGAAAAATGTTTTGTTTCGTTTTTTTTTTTTAAAGTGCATGCAAAAGAAGTAAAGCCTTTTTTTTTTCATCATTTTTTATTGTAAGAAAATACACAGTTTGAAAGTGTGAATAATGCAATATTTATGACCAAGAGATGGGACTCAGGAAGGGGGCAGGGAAATAAAGAAAAAGGTCAAGATGATCTGATTGAGAGACAGTGTAGAACTCCAAATACTGAACTGGAAAAGGAGGGAGGTGGGAGGAGGAACAGGAGGAGGAAGTAAAAAAATTTGATCAGAGAAACAGTTAAAATACAATATGAAAATAAGTAATACCTCTCCTTAAATTCCTTCTATACACAAAATACACGATTTGCCAAAGCCCAATTTGTGCTACTGGGATTCTGTGAGCTCTGTAAGTGTATTCACATCCTCTGCTACCGCAGAAAATGATTATGATACAATCAGAATATGCTGAAGACAAGTTAAACTCTTGCCAGCAGGTTCTTAAAAATCACAAGATCTCTTCACCCCACCCACCCCCCCAACCCCAAAAAAGTAATAATATGTCACCACTGATATGTACATCACAATTAGTTTCTGTAAAATGTATCAAATTTTCAATCTTTAATAAAACTTTGTTTTTTTTTAATTCCTGATGAATAAATACCAAAAAAATAAAATAAAATAAAATAATGCAGCAGCTAGTTAAGGTGTAAGGCTGCGGATATTGTGTCTCTCTCCCCCTTGGCATTTATTATTATTATTATTATTAATTTTTTTTTTGCTTTGCTTTCACAGATTGTTGGTAATGAGTGATTGCTTAAAGCAATATACATCCACTTTGTTGTTGTGGGTTTATTGGTTTTGTTAAAACTGTCTCCAAGGTTTCACTGAAACATTTCGGATCACATCAATACTGTGACGTGTACTATGGATAGAAGAGACGGCCAGGGTGTGGCCAGCACTGAAAGTTGACACGGGGGGAGGAAGGGCCCCTGATGGATTAAGAATAAACAGGCACTAGTCCGACACGGTGTCAGTAAGAGTAAGAGAGAGAGAGAGTGAGAGCAACGCCCGTTAAAATGGGGAATGTGGTTTTGCAGGGTCTGAATTTTTTTGTTTTCTTTTTTCTTTTTTTTGTAAATGGCAAAAAATTTAATCTCATCTATAGTCCTCCTTAGGAAAATCTAATGTAACCAAATTCCCAAATCCCATTCTGAGGCTCTCCATGTCAAAAGTTTCAATCTCTCGCTCTTGCCTTTCCAATAGGAACTTGATTCTCTCGCTGCGTTCCTTCTGCAGGGCAGCCAGCTCCTCTTCAATCTGAAAGAAGCACAGTGATTGGTCCTTAATCGCTGATCTCCCAGTGGGCGCCCATGGCACACACATCATACCTACCCTGGTGCCAGCACCTCGGCGGCTCCGAGTGACCTAGATTACGAAGACTGGCCAGCCCTGTGACTGGATCTACTATGTTTAAAACTTGCTACAAGGATGAAAATGCTGGGGCCCACCTGCGGCAAGAAAAGCACTTGAGCCATCACGCAGTGGGCTGATCTAGGTCAGTGTCCTGTCCCAGTTGGACGTGGCTCAGCAGAAGCCCAAAGATACTTGAGCATAATTAGATGGTGCTTCTTTTCCATAGAGGACTGCAGGCCTCCTGGGTCACTGGAAATTTAGTTCTTGGAGCCGGAAAACCATCTGTTACTTGGTTTTACAGGGCAGCTGGTTAAGCCAATAGATGCTTACAGCTTTGAGGTGCTTTACGACACTGCTCTATCCCAGTCCCCAGACTATCAACAGTGGTGTATATTTCAATTGAGATGACACTACTATGCATAGCAGTACTGGCCTATCTTCATTTTAATTCTTGCTAAAGACCCTTGCTGCTCTGTGGAGGTGGAAGGTTTCCTTCCTAGCACAGGAGCAGGAAGGTTAGGCTTTGGGATCAGACTCATCAAGTAACTGAACCGCTCTAGTCTATAGAATAGGGACTGTGCTGCTTCTCAGGGTTACTAGGATATAAGGCAGACAAAGGAACCATGCCTACTTTAACCCCTTGCAACTAGGGAGAGCTCTGTAAGTAGCAGCTGTGTAGGCTGCAACTCCCCCATCCCAGCTGCACAGGACCCCCAGAAACTCTCATACCTTTTGCTCAAGATGTGCTCTGCGCAGAGACACCCTCTGCTCTAGCTTCTGGAGCTCGCGTTCATGTTGTGCCTCTGTTTGCATCTTGATTTTGCTCTGGTAGGCATTGAGCAGCTCCATTTCCTGCTGGAGCTGTAGCCTCAACGCCTGGCATTCTGCTTCTTGAGCCTCATCTAGCCGTAACTGCAGGCACAGAAGACACACACTGTCATGCAGCCCTCTCTCACCACTCTTGGGGATTAGTGGGAGATGTTTCCTTGACTGGACTCAAATGGGTCTTTTCAGAAAAACAGATACCCTGGGTACATTCAGAGTTCTGATCAAAACCAGTGAAAGTCTGCCCAGTGAGCTACAAGCCTGAAAACGCGCTTTTCAGTGTGGTCTGAAACCATGGGACCAGGTGTCAGGAAGGCTGCCCACTCTGCTGACGCAGCCCATGGTCTTTGAAGTGGACTTCTGAGCCAGAGCTCTGGAGTCACTGTTCACTTAGATGTGCCCCCTTGCCAGTTTCTCATTCTCTACAGCTCATTCATCTCAAGAAAGCAGTACTTTATAATTCCTGTTATCTGAGATGGATGAAGGAGGAAGTGAAAGAATTCACACACAATCCCAGGCACAATTCTCCCTGCATACTAAACATTCACGAAATAGTAGCTGCTACCATTATTTTGGTTTTGACAAGACCATTTCCATATGTGGGTATTTTTAACTATAAAGTCATTTGAAATGTTCTAAATAAATCTAACTAATACCCATAAAGCTTGGGGAATGTGCCAAAGTATTATTATGCTCCTAATAAAGGTCACGTAGGCTGCTACTGTTGGTTGTACGGGGTCATCTTGTCAGCTAGCCAATGTAGAACTCTGGCGGTTTACACTCTTCCCCAGAGGGCAGCCCTGATACCCTTGAAAGGAATGAAAATGCAGGCTGCAGAAATGAACTCTCAGTTAGAAGACACCTGGTCAAACTGCCCTTGTCTCCTATAGCACCCGAACTTTGTATGCTCTGATCTGACCTTGGGAGGGAATGGGCCAGGCCAGCCCACAGAAATGCCAAGCTCTCGACTCAGAGGAGGAGGCTTTGGGTCACTTAGAGGAGTACCTTAGGGGATTCTGGCCCCCTGCCCCAGGTCTGGTTTTGTCCAAATGCAGTAGGCCCTGAAGTTGGCTGAGAACTGTGAGATTAGAATCCTTGAGTTAGACAATTGGGTTACCCTGGATTTGTCTGTAGGGTCCCATCCAGACCACTTTGCCAAGATACTTACTTTCCACCTTAGCCACAACTTGTGGCAGTTACCAATATACTGCGGTATCTTCATTGAGAAGTGACTTTCTGAAATGTTAGAATACTTTCAGGAAATTATTTGCATGGTATCTTCTTTAGTATTTTTCTGTGTTTCAGTCCTGGGAATGAAACCTAGGGCCTTTGCACTAGGCCTCTTTAGTTTTTCTTTAAAAAACTTAGACAGGAAGTCTCAGTAAGACACTAAACTATCCAGACTGGACTTGGACTTGTGATCCTCCTGCCTCAGCCTCCCAGAGTACTGGGATTATAGGTGTGCACCTATCATGCCTGGTCTTCTTTAGCATTTCGGGAGAAATATGTTATGGCTATTAAATGAACATAAAATAAATATGTAATCATATTTCCAAAGTGACTTCTAATGATTAAGTCTAACCAGATTCATGAAAACCCACTACAGAAGGCAGAGTTCTCTCTTCCCATTTTCCTGATACTGGACACAGTGAACGGTCCATCTGGAGCAGCCTTATAGATTAACGCCAAACAGTTTTGTTACTGATCCACTCCTGACATCCTAGGTTCCCTACCAGGAAAGGAAACAGGAAGCCTGTTTTTCTGTTCTCACTAGCATTATTTGCAACAGACCTTGAACGAGTGGCTGAGAGCTCATCCTATGGCGGTTTAGATCACTGAAACAGTTCCATTTTCCTGTTTCTAGGGTTCTATTATTGTTGTCAATGACTATATGCTAAAAGCCACTCTGACTGTACAAATCCCCGTGCTGAAAACAAGGAGACACTCCAGGATTTGGTATCCACCATTCAAAATTACACATCCCAAATCAGTAAAAAAAAAATTTGTTATCAATATTGGTAAATATCACATCTGTTTTTTAAAGGGGCTTAAAAAGATGTGCCAGAGGCAGCTTGGTATACAGCGACTAAACATATAGGCTTACAGGCCTCCTCCCCAAAGCATTCATGTACTGGCTCAACCACCAGCAATGTGATTGCACATATGCCAGGGGTTGGTACGCTACAGGTCACAGGCCAAATGTTGCCTGCTGTCTTTTTTATAAGTAGTTTGACAGATACATTTATTTACATTTTACCGATGGCTGCTTATGCACTGCAGTAGCAGAGGTGGTCAGCTGTGACAGAGATCTTGTGGTTCACAAAACTGAATTCATTTGTCCCTTTATGTAAAACTTGAAATATTCATCTTCTCCTTTATACAAAGTGCTTGCCAACTCCTGCTCCAAGGAAGAGCTAGCTAGCCCTACGTGATTTTCCTTCAGTAAAACATCAGTTTTGTCACAGGTGAATTTAGGGCTGTGCAATAATTACTTCAAAAGGATTTCACAAAAATGAAACGGGAAAATGCCTATAAAATATATAAAACTAGCTGGCCTGTGGTATGCAGTTGGCAAAGGGGAGCTGTACTGATCACAACTATCTGATCTCCTTGTATCTCAGGAGAGTATTCCTCTCCTTTTATTCCAGGGCAACCATGCACCTATATTCCACATCCTGTTCTCTCCTGTCTTAGACTATAGCGTACATTCAATGGACACTGCTGTATGCCAGGCATTGCCACATATGCTAATAAACGATGGTTAATGAAAGTCCTATCAGCTGCTTCATCCTCATCAATGCGCCCCACACGCCTCACCACTCACCTCACATTCTGATCTAACCCCTTTACTTATTCTGGTCACCAGTGACCAATGGGAAGTGGTTTTTTACCTTACCTGACCCACCAGCAGCATCAACAATTGTTGACTGTCTCTTGTTTCTTGAAACCTTTCTCCTGCCTTCTGAGATACTATCTACACCTGCTGGTTTTTCCTCCCCTCTCTCGCTCTCCTTTTGTGGCTAGTCCCTAGCTACTGCAACTTATTCAATGCAAGTGCTCCGTGGGGCTTTGTCCTGGGCCCTTTCCCTCCTCTAACCAGTCTTCCTAAGGAATTTCATCTACTCCAAAAGCTCCAAATTACCATCTGTTCAACAAATGACTTCTACATCTCTAATGATTTCAGACTTCCTTTCTGAGGCTCATATAAGCTATGAGAGACAACTTCACCTGGATGTTTCCCAGCCTTTTACATTCAGGAACCAATTTTAATTAACTCACCAGCTTTATCTTCCTGCATCCCCAAGCAGCTTGACTTCATTCTGCACATGTAGGTAAATGGCACCATAATCTACCATTTCACTCAAACCAAGACACAGTCATATGTAAACCTGACTCTCCAAATTCACTATGTGCTCTTGACCCTACCCTGCCCAGCTCTCTCTTCAGTTTGGTCACCTGCCCCTTCATCCCCACTGCCGCTCTACGGTAGTCACCACATCTTGTGTGTCCAGATAAACGCAGCTTACACATCTTTGCTCTTGCCACCTCCCAGACCATTGTCCACATGTCACTGAGAGAAACATTCAAAAAATAAAAATCAGATGTCAGGGCCCTGCTTGGCACTTTCCAATGGTTTTCTCCTGCTTGCATGAGAAAGCCAGCAAGCCCCTCCACAATCCAGACCCATTCACCCCCTGTTTTTTCATGCTGGCCTCCCCTGCTTCTCCGCATTTCACCCAGAATGATGTCTGTGAGTTCTTCAAAAGTACCTCTGTTTTCCTGCCTGCACACGAAGCTCCCCAGCCTACGTGACTGTCAGAGAGGTGTTTCCCGACTGTCCGGCCAGGCTAGCTCTACTGTTTGCACTCTGCTGGCACCATGCATTTGCTCTGTGAGTACACAGCCAGCCTATCCAATGTCGGTTTCTGCCATTCTTCTATAAACTCAAGAGAACTTTATCAATGACTGTCCTGTTCACCACAGTAACCCTGGGCACAGTGTGGGTACTCATGAACGCCTGCTGGATGAACGAGTGAATGCGCTAGCTCCTGTCCTCAGCGCAAGGGCATGTGGAGGCGTTTATTAACAGAAGCCTTCCTTTCACCGTATTTTCCTTTTGATTTTTCCCCCTAGCACTGGGGATGGAACCCTGGGTTCTGCACATGCTAGGCAAGTGCTCTGACACAGAGCTCCACCCAGCTCTGTCTCCTCTTCCTACAAATCTTTGTCTTGGCCCCGCTGATGGGGATCTGGGAAAGGCACTCCCACATTTCTCCCATACTTTACTGTTGCTTTTTTTGATATACCATAGTACTTCCCATTCCCACCACTCTACTGTCTATGACAAGTAATGGACAAATCACTGCCAGATCCAATGTATAAGCCACACTTGACTACTCTAGCTGCTTTCTATATGCTTGACATCTTCAGTTATAGCCTTTGCTCTGGCTGTGTGACACGCTGTGTTCTGGTAGCCCATCTGTGTCTCTAAGTTGTCATCTTCTTTGATCTACTTCTATGCAGCCTTCAAATGTTGGTGTCCAAATGAGACTCTGTCCACAGCCCCCTTCCTCTCTCATTCCATTTACCATCCCGTACAGATGTACTCCTGACAGCTACAACTGTCCCCATATGGCATGATGTCTTTTTTCTTCTTTCCAGTGCTGGGGGTGAAACCCAGGGTCCCACATGTGCTAGGCATGTGCTGCTCCATCACTGAGCCATATCCTCAGTCCCTTATTTTTTTTGTCTTTTTCTTTTTTTTTTATCAGTACCGGGGATCGAACTCACGACTGCCAGCTTGCAAGGCAGGTGCATTTATGCTGCTGAGCTAAATCCCCAGCCCCAGTCCCTTATTTTTTAACTTTCAGACAGGCTGTTGAAGCCAGACATGTTGAAGCACATAGGGGTAACTTTAACTTTGCAACTCAGTGAGACTCCGTCTCAAACGAAACAAAACAAAAATAAGGAAAGAAAAGAGGACTGGGGATGTAGCTCAGTGCAAAGGCAATGGGCTCAATCCCCAGTATCACACACACACACAGGATCTTGCTAAGATGCTAAAGCTAGGCTCAAATCTGCAGTCTTCCCTCATGGCTGGAACATGGATCACATGCCAACATTTTGTCTTTAATTTTGGCTTCCCTCTAAGCTAGACTTCCATGTCTGCACCTCTCTACCTGGATACCCACGTAGCTTAGATACAATGCCCAGGACTCAGACAGTTACCTTCCCAGGCATCCAAACTCAGTTGTCCTATGTTTCTATCATGATAAAATTATGATCTATTCCAATCTGCTTCCAAATCTACCTCTCAAACTGGTCTCCCTCTTAAAAGCTATCTAGTCTCCCTCTTAAATATTTCACATTTCTTAACTCCTTTCCCTCTTCACTATCTCCATTAGCCCCTCCTCAAGCCTCTATTGAATCAAGGGCTTCCCAATGTAAGCATGCACTCCACCACTGAGCCACACCTCGCTTCAACCCAACATGCTCTGTCTTACTTCAGGCCGCCATCGTTTTTTCTGTATTCTTCCAGTAACTCCTAACAGGTCTCCTTACCCATGTTTGCTACATGGTTGGCAATACTTTTTCCTCTCCCAGCACCACTGAGTAAACCCAGAACCTCACGCATGCTAGGCAAGTGCTTTGCCACTGAGCAATGTCCCAGCCCCACTCCCCTTCTTAATCAGGCTGCAGTAGGTCTCCACTGCTTACTGCAGTGACCAGAGTCCTGCCACTGAGATTCTGACCCCCGACTGTCCACCTGCCTTCCTTGACTGAGCACTTCACTGCTCCCTGTTTCTCAAAAGCGCCAGCCTTTTGAGTTTCTGTGTACACTGTGCCCTCTGCTAGGATTAATTTTTCCTCTCCTGCCTGTTTGGTAAATGACTGCTCTTTAAACTGCATCTCCTGGGAAGTCTTCACTGAATCACTAGACACCCCCCACCCCCGGCTTTTCACTTGGGAGGAGCTCTCCTCCTGGTGTTTTCACTACCCACTTCCCTGAACTTTGGCCTCACACCCAAGTTCTGTTAAGTCCCTGGATGCACACTTCCCATAGTTTGGACCTTTTCCTGCGCAGGTCCCTTTGCATGGAACCGACTTACTTTACTGGTTTCCTTCAAGCCTCCAGGCTCCCTCCAGGAAGCTTTGCCTAGACCAGATTCATTCCTCCTACTTACCCTTCTGGGTCTCCCCAGCACCTCCCACTTCACAGCACTTACAGTGCTTTATGATTATTGTTTAATTATCTGACTTTCTGGCTTGACTGACAAAAGTGTGAGGTCAGAGACCCATGTCTGTCTAGCTCATCTCTCTACTTCTGAGCCCAGTGCAGAGCTGGACCCAGACTTAGCAAGTTTCCTGATTGCACATGACTGTGTATGTCTTCCTCACTTGACCACGAGCTCCGTAAGGCAGGGGCTGTGACTTATTCCCTTGTGCCTGACACTGGTTGGGAGTGGTGGTCAGGAACTCTTGGATGAGCAAACATATGATATGATGTACGGTATCTATCACATCTCGCCCTGAAGTCCCTATGTGCCACCGAAGCAGGTCATTCCTTGTGCTCCATCCTATAAGACACATGTTGGTAAGCATCCGCACGGCCTCGGCTTTATTCAGCGTCGTCCCGTTTCCTCAGTTGTTTGGGCAGGAAAACACCAATATCCTAAATTTGTGCAAGAATCATCCTGGGAAACAAAGGCTGGATCTTGAATTTTCTTGAATCCCAAAACTCTTGAGGCTGTGGCACCAAACCTAACCACTTACCGCTTGAGAGGCCATCATTTCATTTATACTCTGTTCATACTGCTCTGCCAAAATGGCCAGTTTTCTCGTCTGCTCATCTTTCAGTGTCTTTAAGATTGTTTTGTGCTCATTCTTTGGAGTAACTTCCAACTGGTGATTCTTGAGTGCTTTATACTGTTTGGTCTGTACTTTGCAAGTGTCCTGAAACTGTTTTTTAATTTGCATTTCCATGGCCTGTTAGGAAAGTGATAAAGGGGAAATAGACACGTCAGCCAATACAGAAAGCTTCCATTATAATGACACACTACGAGTCTGGGACCACCCTCTGCCTTGTGGTGTAGTGGCCCATGACACTGATTGATAATCACGAAAGTAATACCTGCAATTTAGGTAAGAGTTAACTTTCCAATACTTTTTGTTTCACAGTAATAGAAGTACTTTTGAATTTACAAATGGCTCCAAAGAAAAAAATGAATTGTATGTAACAAGGGATAAATTCTAAACAGATTGTGGAATAGTACAGAGCTTATTTTATGAAAATGTTGCAGTCAGACTCAAAGTTTCCCAGTCAGAGTTGTAGCATTTCCTGTTGTTTGTTGCTTTTTCCTTTGTGTACATGAGTATATTTATGTATGCCCCCCATTCTTCCCCATTTCCAAGTGAGAAAGTGGACACTCTCACTGCTTGTGGGTGCTTCCTTGACAAATCAATGAAGGACATCTGGATTACATTTCACACCCTAACCTACTTCCACTATGTCTCAGCAAAATGGACAGAGAACAGTGATTTTACCACCATTAAGCAGTTGTGCTTGCACGTGGCAGTATCACATCTGCACTTTGGCAGGAAGAGAGCGCAGTGCGTCATGAAGGTCGGAAGGCCTCCCATCAGGCTGCGCTCCATAAACACTCTGAGGGCTTACAGTGACAGGGGTCACTAATTAGACCACTCTTAGGGTTCGGCCCGAGGAGGCGCATGGCCCATCTGATGGAAGCTGGCCTCATCTCTGTGCCAACACTGACAGTGTCCTCCTTGACATCTAGCAGGGGCTTGATACACAAAGCTTATTAATTAGCGGTCTCCTAAAATTAGCCAGAGACAGAGAGGGCCAAAGGAGCTCCTCTTCATAGCCTTAGCACAGAGGCAATGAAGGCCTCACACACTTCTGGTCCATTGTGATTTCCATGTCCACGACAGAGGTCACCCATAAATCACCCTTTCCTACTAAGTTGGAATGTGGCTTTGGAGTCCTGCTTGCTTTGTACAGCAGAGCTTATGGTGGTTGGTACCAATACAGATTTTCATTTCCCAAGATTGGAACTACAGGCTGCTACCCATCCCATTGTGAGGACGGCAGGTCGGGAAGGGCTCAGAGCAATGACATAATGGAATGAATGGGAAATGTGAGAGATCACATAGTACATGGTTTCCAAAACAGCTTGTGTGGCTTGTGAAATGCAGGCTGCTGAGCTTTATACTTGGAGATTCCATTCTGGTAAAGGTGAGGCCCAGATGTGTGATTCTGAAAAACTGCCCGAATGACGCTGATGACCAGCTAGCTAGGTGCAGGAGCCCAGCCCAGCCGCCCTGGAGCGCACACCGGAAACGCCTCTCCTTCCTCTTACCTTTAAGTTTTTTGGCTGTTGCCGAAGTTCCATGACATGTTTTCTGTGCAGTTCCCTTTCTCTCCTCTTATTGTACTCCAGCTGGTTTTCCAGTTCAGTCTGGTGCTGTAAACGGATCAGATCCATGCGTAGCTTCTGTAACGTGTGCAGCTGCCTATATTCTAGCTCTCGGGTGGACTCATCGTGCCTGATTAACATGGCATGCTCCATCTCCTTCTGTGTCCTCTTTTTATTTAGTTCCTGCATTCAGGAGCAAGAGATAAATGGAGAGAGGTGACTGGAGGGGAAGTGGAAGAAGCACAGAGTGAATCGAGGGAGGGCATGCAATTGCACTGCTAAATGACTCTTAAACCGAGAAATGTTTGCAGCATGACTTAATGTGATTAGATTCACAATCCTGGAGGTTTAGGTTCTGTTTCAAGGTCTGTCATATACAAAAGCGGCAACTTCACAGCCTCAACAACTGTACCATCTGTACAATGGGACCAATTCTACCCACTCCCTCCTACCCCTCAGAGCTTCTATGAATGTTAATTCAGATGATGTGCTACACTTACGTGTAGGCAAATGTTGAGTTTAGCAGTTTTCTACCTTGTTTGCCCATTAAAATCACCAGAAGCAGCTGTTCAGACAAGCAATGCTTAAACCCTACAAATAGAAATTCTAATATACTTGTCAGGGGCGGGGCCCCATGCCATTTTTAAAAGTCTTCCAGGTGACTCCATCATGCAGTTGGCGTTGAGAATTAAACTTAATTAAACTGATGTCTGTAGTGTTCTTAGCTTTCTGGGAAATACCTGTTTTGCACATATCAGAAGTAGACCAGTTATCTATCTTTAAAAATCTGCGTTTAGGGCAAAGAGCAGCAATGTCTACTCTTTCATCTTTTCCGTCATAGTCTGTCACATCGTTTTCTGGTCTAATCATTCTGTTCTCAGGTCTTCTCAAACTTGCCTCTTTCTATCTCCTCCCTTTCCTTTTCTTCACGTCTTCTGTCTTTGTTGGCTGGGGGTGGGGGCAGACTAGAAAAAAGGTTAATGTTTTTGAATTTTACCAATCCCAAGATGTACCGAGCACAAAGATCTGAGCCACATGCTTCTGGTGCATGTGAACACTGACTAAACTGGAACTGCTGTTCTTAAGATACTAACAACCTAATATGAGAGAGCAATAAACACTTTTTTTTTGCTTATTTTTAATTTTTTACTTTTTTCGGGGGGATAGGTACTGGAAATTGAACTCAGGACCTTGTGCTTGCCAGGCAAATGCTGTGCCACTGAGCTAAATCTCTGGCCCTGTTTTAAAATTTTTGAGATAGGGTCTTGCCATGTAGTTTAGACCAGCTTTGAGCTCACTATGTAGCCCAGATTCACTTTCCACTTGTGGCAATCATCCTGCCTCAGGCTCCTGAGTGCTGGGATCACAGGTGTGGGACACCACACCTGGAGAACACTTACTGCTGTACCAGCTCAGCTTGCAGGTGGTACACCTGACCATCACAGGTGGATGGATGGCCCCGCTTGGGCCAAACTATTTTCTGTCCTAGGAACTTAGGAGTTGAGATTCCCAGCTATGATCTCTGTGGAGCGCTGGAACTGAGGAGCATATGAAGACCACAGATGTGAGGGTCATCTGATACTGTGAGGTCTGAGGACTGGAGTGTCCTGGGTTTTGGAGGAAGAAGAATGCAATAAAAGAAAGATGTTCAGGGAATATATTTGTGCTCACTGGTTTCTAAGCCTACCTGTAAGTCCAGCTGTATTACTCTGCTCCAGTTCTGAGCTATTCCTCTATTCCTAATTTCTCTAGTTTTGGTTTAAAGCAGCCTAAATAAATTAATATGCAAAAATAAATTAACAAGGGAAGTAAGTTTTCTGTGCAAATTTAAAAGAGAACAAGTTGGAGGTGATACATACAATAAAGAGTAAAGGTTATTTGTTGTAAGCTTCCTAAGCAGGGTGGTGGTATTACTAGACAAGGTCAAAGACAGCTGAAAGCTTCTGAGCTCCATTTTGGCTTCGAACAATAGGATATCTCTCTTTGATGGCAACCACTATGCAAGTCATTTATTTTCATAGAAATGTCAGTAACATGTGCATGTTGTTACAGTTAACAGGAGCACCTTGCATACTTAGACCTCTATCCATTTGGAGAAAGTCCTTTAATAGCACAGCCTCTTAGTATAGATCAATCACATATCATTTATTGATTCAATCAACAATGAATATGAGCACCTACTATGTGTTGAGCACTGTTGTAAGACACTGCAGATAGCAAGGAACAATGAAATCACCTCAGAGAGCTTATTTTCTAATAAAAAAACATTCAGAGTATAATTCACTTGAAAAAATAAAAGCTGAGTGTCACCTCCTGTGGCCTGTGTTTTTTTTTCTTTTTCCTCACCTGGTCCATCAAATCTCTTCTTTTAAAGATCAGTAGCGGCCCCTAGGTGGCACCAAAGGAAAGTGAGCCCTTTCCACAGATTAAAGTGTCAGGACCAAGTAGGGAGGGGGGATACCCCCCAAACCAAGGAAAGCTCTTTTAGTGGGTTACTTCTCTTCCGTCCCCTGCATCACTTTTACCTTAGAGTCCTAATTTTTGGCATTTATACATCCAGTTTCTTAAACTGAGAGGTTCAAAGTGAGCTGCCCGAGGCCCTGAAACTCACGGGTGTGTATGTGTAGGGGGTTAAAAATCAACAGACACTTTTGGAGGAAATTGTATGCCTCTCTTCATGTTTAGTGGGCTATTTCAGGCCCTGAAGAACACCTGTGACAGGATTACCTTACACAATATCACCTGGTTTACAAGTGATTTATAACAAGCTACCCAGCTACTTTGGTGATGTCTGCTGATATCCGGGAACCAAGGGGAAAGTGAAAGCCGAGGGTATCAGTCAGCTTAGACCACGGGCTGGCTGACTACCTATGCCTACGGGCAACTCTCCTAAACCATACTTTCACGCTTTGGGTTTAGGGTGAGGCTCCCTATCTGTTCCCACTATGCACTACCATGCTTGTGAAGATGAAGTCAAAGACTGCTGAGGTGTAAGTTGATGTTGGGAGCCGCGTCTGTGATAGCTCGCCTTGCGCGGCGGACGTGCGGCCTGTGGTAAAGAGCAAAGCCTGAGGTAGATTACCCCTCCCATCGAATATGTTAGTTTCCTGCTTACCGCGTAAACAACCCGCTCAACAATATAGTCTGCCTGGCAACTGATGATGTTAGCCAATCAGCTTGCCTTGCTTACTTTAACATGATTGGACACTGTACCCGTATATATACCGGTGCCACCCCTGGGCGGAAGAAGAAGCCAGGTAGAAGCCCAGAAGTAAAAGCCCAAAAGGAGCCGCGGAGAGCGGACTGGTAGAGGCTTTGGGGCAGACTGAAGCACAAAAGGAGCCGCGGGGAGCGGACCAGAGGAGGCTTCGGCTGGGAGCGATCCCAGGGCAGGCTGTACGGAGAAGGAAAATAAAAAGAAAAGGTTGTCCACTACCAGACTTTGTCGTGTGTCCTTCCTGCCGGCCGGGAGCGGACATCGACAAGTTGATAAGCGGCCAACAATGTTTTAAACCATGAACAAAATTCTTTAACTTACTGAGTCCAGTGCTGTGTCTATATGATAATATGCAATGTGATTTCGATTTAGAAAAGTATTTCATATACCTCATTCTTTCCTACTTGTAACCCTACAAGGTGGTGGCTTTGCAAAGATTTCATGAGATAGCAAAGCACTTTGGAATTAAGGGACTAATATAAGGCTCTCCAGTTCCATAAAATAAGACTTCAAGCTAAAACTTGGATTTTTAGATTTTAAACATTTTCCATGAAAAGGTGTTCCAATGAACATATTATATTTTCCTGTTTCTGCTTTTTTAAGAACTACTAAAGAACTACTTTGGTCTAGCTTGATCTGATGCAGTGTATTGCAAAGGACACCATATACATTAGATCTGCATTATGTGCACTTTTAGCTTATACAAAGTCAACAAAATGAACCAAGAAAAAATTTAAAAAATCAAATTTGATTAACAGATGATTCTGCCCACACCAATCTACTCCATGTCTATATGTACTGCAGGGAGTGTGGGGTGACAACTGGCACCTGCCTGTCCCTCAGCCACATGTGCACCTTGTAAGGTGTCAGTAAGGTGTCCATGAGCTCAGGGTTGAAATGCAGGTATTTTTCACATCACATGGTCCCTGCATGAAGGAGTCTAAGTGACTCTACCTGCTGGCTAAGATGTGGCTCCAGATGCATTTCTCCCTGTGTCCCATGCATTCTATTTAGTGTAAGTCTCAATGGAAGTGTTATTGGCTTCCTTAAAAGCAGCTGATTTCATTCATGCCAAATTTCTTGTTTTCTGTTTTTCTTCAGTCTTGGGAGATTGAGCTCATGCCAAATTTTTACCCTCCTAGCCACTGAAGCTGAGTAAACACTGGAGCTCAAACTTCTACTGGGGACACTGTTAGCCCGTAATGTGCAACGCCTTCTTACTTTCAGGTGCTTCAGCAAGTGGCCAGAAAGACGAGCCCCTGTGGGCGGTGAGAGGGGCACTGGCTCAACCCAGGCTGCAGTGGCCCTTTTACAGGTTTCCATCAGTTAACGGGATCATTACTGCTTATTTTAGGCAAAAAAACAGAAAGAGTCACTCTTGCGCTTTCTTGGTGGGTATTTTCATGAACCTCTTTAGAGGGCTATTTGGTGATATCTATTTAAAATGTTAAACTTTTAAAATTTTTATTATTTTTAGACAGGGTCTCACTATGTAAGCTAGGCTGTCTGACCCTGAAGTTTGTATGCATTCACGTTGGCCTTGAACTCATGATCCTCCTGCGTCAGCCTCCCAAGTGCTAGAATTACAGGCATGCACCACCACACCTAACTTATTTAAAGCTTTAGATGTATGTACTCTGACCCAGAAATCTCACTTCTGAGAATGCAGCTTACAAATATACTGGTATATGTATAAAAATATTTATGTACAAAGATTTGTATTCTGTGGCATTGTTACTAATACTACAAGATTTCAACAAAATGTGCACTGAGCTGACCGTCATTAAACAAATGATCCGACAATCACAGAATAAAATACTCTGTGGTCTAAAAGAATGAATCACTGAGAATGGTGGCCTGTGATCTTAGCACTCAAGAGGCTGAGGAAGAGGACTATCACAAGTTCAAAGCAGCCTAGGCTACATAGTGAGTTCAAGGCCAGCCTGGACTGAGAACTGAGATCCTGTCTCACCAAAAAAAAAAAAAAAAGAATCAGGCTGTATGTGCTACAAAACAAGTAGGAGAGAAAACCCAACAGTATAGTGGACATCTGTTACGTTCACAGGCTCAGCATCTATTTTTCCTTCTGTTTACAGCCTTCTTTTTTCTTTTTTTGCTTTGAGAAACTACTCCACTCTATGTGGAAGCAGCAGGTACAGGCACATTATTCAATCAAGTTCTCTCTCCTAGAAATTTGGGTCTTGAACAGAAAGATTACAAGGATTAAAAAACAAATGGTTGGAGAGACTCATCCAAATGGCTGTGCCTAGAGGAGGAATGTCCGTTGGTTCTTCCACCCCAAATGCCATGGAAGTTGCTTTTCCAGCATGGTTCTTCATTGTTGCCGATACTGTTCTTCAGCTGTTACCTACCCGGTGTCCTGGTAAAGTCCTTCCCATGACTAAATCAGCCAGATCAAGCAAAATCAAATAATCCCAGTCATACAAAAGCAATCTCATTTTCTAAAGTTAAAGTCACAGACAAGGGCCGGGGATATAACTCGGCAGCATAGTGCCTGCCTGGCAAGCAAGAGGTGATGAGTTCCCGGTACCAAAAAAACCCACAGTCATATACAAGATATAAACTCGAAGTAAATATACAGGAAAGGATTCTGGAATAACAAATAGTAGATGAACGGCTCACTGCCTCTGAATAGAGAATGAGTGAAATGAGATTTTCAAGAGGAGAAATGGAGTGATGTTGGTCAAATGTAAAATAATTTGCTTATGCAAGATGTAATTTCTGGAGCTCTAACTAGTGACAATAGTTAATGATACTGTATTACATACTTGGAATAGCTAAGAGATGGTGTTAAATTAATTCTTCCTACCACATACATATACACACATGCACACAAACAGTAACTAGAGGTAACTGATACACTAAGTAGCTTGAATGTGAGGATCATTTCAAAATGTATATACATGTATCAAAACATTGTTACTTTAAACTATACATAATTTTTATATGTCAACAATTCAATAAAGCTGTTAAAAAGAACTTTTACAATTTGCTTTATATTTTTCTATAGTTTTCCAATATTCTTTTATTAGTTTTATAAATCGGAATGCTTTCAATGTTTTCATTTTTCAAAGTGGCTCTGGAATAAGACAAAGGAAAATCTGTACTCTTTTTTTTAATTTTTTTTTTTTTTTGTCTTTTTCCTTTTTATCCGTACCGGGGATCGAACTCACGACTGCCTGCTTGCAAGGCGCTTATGTCGCTGAGCTAAACCTCCAAGCCCCAAATCTGTACTCTTATGAAAAATATCTTTATGTAGATATTGTTGGATCAGTTGGTTAAAATGTAATATGAATGAAGTCACAAATACACTTTCTATTCTTTGGGGGAGTGATTATGTTCTGTAGCTTTTACTGACATTAATTTAGCCTCGGCATTCTTCCCAACATGTGTTATTTAAGTAACAAAACTTGCCAGATAAAAAGAAACTCAAATACCTCATTGTGAAATGACTATTGGATTTTTTCATTTTGATTTTTTGACTTCTGAGAAACTCAGAATGTGTAGTACTCAACACTTTTTAAAAATCAAATCTTTTCTCTAAGCTTCTCTGTTTCTACCCCAAACTCTATTTCTCCAAGTCTTGAATCCTATAAGTAACCTTTTGTCTCACTCCTGTAGGATACAAAGTCTTGTTTGTTCCATAGCTGACACTGTATCTTAAATCTACTTCCTTTGTGACACACACCCTTACTAGGCTGCCCATACTGGACTTTCTACCATCTCATCTCATTGTTTCTAGTCTCATCTCTTGCGTCCAGTATTTCTCAAATTTTTGTATTCATTATTACCCCTGTAAGGAGCTTTTTAGATTTTTCCTCCTTAATCATCCTTATCCCTAAAACGTTAATCCCACAGAGCTCTTATGTGCTATGTACTGTGGCCCTGTAGCAGGCTATGTGCTGTCACAGTGTCTGAGGCATCTCCTCCTCAGTAAGAAGCCATTTTGACTTTCCCAGGGGGCAGTACTGTTCCCTTTGGGGAAGGATACTTTAGCCAACCCAAGTATTGCCTTCGAGCTGGACTCATATCACTATGGACCCATTTTAGCGAAACTACTGGTCCTCTCAAACATTGTGAGCAGTCTTTCCTTCTTTCAAGGTGAGATAATGCCCCTAAAGAACCTGAGGGCGAGGGATATAGCTCAGTGGCACAGTGCCTGCCTGGCAAGTGCAGGCTTCCGAGTTTGATTCCTGGTAACCTCCCCCCAACAAAAAAAGAACCTGAGCCTGACCTAGAATTATGTGGTAATAAATTTTAGTTTGTTTTGTTCTTTCTTCTTCCTATTTGAATATGACTTTCCCTTAATTCTTAATTCCCTTTTCCATGAATTGTACCCAAAGTGTTTGTCTCCCTAATGAAGGCAGATACTGAATTTTTAACAAAACTTTGATACTTTTACCAATATACTTGCTGTTGAACCTAGTCTTCACAAATGGTTGACATTCTGTATTTTCATCTTGGTGAATAACGTCATTCAAGTTAGAATCCAAATCAGAAACCCAGCAGTCACTTTTGACTCCTCCCTCTTCTGAAATTCCCACATCCATGAGGTCAGAATTACTCTAAGTTTGGCTTCAGAAATGTCATTCATGTCAAAGTCCCTACTGCCTTCTTATCCCTCCAGCTGTGCCTCATACTGGCACACTAACTCTTCAAAACAAAGCCTTTTCTCTTCCTTCTTCACTCCCCTGTCTAAAAGCCTCTGATGGCCATGAACTGCCTTCTGGCAAAAATCAAAATGCCTTGCCTTGAGCAATGGCTTCCAACTGTCCTTGTTTTGCAGCTCCATTCCACATACCTTGGATCCTCCAAGCCCCCTCATGACTGTATGCCCAGGATAGTTTATATGTCTACTGCTGTACCTAATACATTGGACGGCAATAAATGTGAAGCATGTCTACTTGGCCTACTAGACTCAGGGTGCTTGGAGGCAGGCTGCTCAGTAGTCCTGGCATTGCCCACAGTGCCTGGTTGAATGGAGGTACTCTGTGAACACCAGGTGACAGACTGAATGAACTAAGTACAGTGCATTATACTGTTATTGGGAGTCACAAATCCACAAGTCCTTAACAGTTGCTACTTCTCTTGGTTCTTCATTGTGTGATAACCTTTACCTAGAATAGGTGCCTGTTAACGTTCTATTACATTTATTTAGAGAAAGCTGATTCCTGGTTCTGCAAATGGGCTTTAACATCATCCTGACTTGTTTTGCGTAGCTGCCCCGTGTCAGGCACTACAGACCAAGAATGCACGAAGAGACCCAACAGACAAGGTCAGGACTCTCACACAGCCTCTTGCCCAAAACAAGTTGTGAACATAATAAGTACCTCCCGAATGTTCTGCTGCTCCACCTCGTGCCGCTTGATCATGGTTTTCCGCTTGAAGAAACGACAGTTTTTGTCGTAGTACAGTCTCTGTTGAGTGAGAAGGTGAGCTTCCTCTTCAGCCTGTGTGTGCTGCAAGTTCTCTTTATGCTTGGATATCCGCTCCTGCTTTTCTTTCTTGGGTGTGCTATGGTCCTCATTCATTTCCTTAAACAACAAACAAACAAAAAAAACCACGATGGTTTCATAAGACAAAGCCAGTTTCAAAAACTATGTAATAGCTTATTGCAACTACAAATAACTTATCTGGAAAGCAAATGCAAATGTAAGTATACAAAATCCTGATGTTGAAACCCCCCTCCCTTCCCTTTCAACTTTTTTCCCAATTAATTGAATATTAAGTGAGAGAGATGGTGAGTTTCCGTCTCTAGTTTCTCACTCTGAGAAACTGTCTGCTCAACCAACGCACACCAACTAAGCCCCTATCATGTGTCAGGCGCTGCTGCGAAGCACTGTGACAGAGGTGAGCAGAAAGAACATGGTTTTTGCCCTCAGGGGGAGCTGTACAGCCTACAATTAAAAACTGACCAAAGAACCACTGAAATTGCTATGAAGACTGCTGCGAAGAGGATGTGCTGGGTCCTGAAAGAATGTCTCATGGACAATGTTTGACTCTGACAGTAACCAATTCAAAATGAAGAAAACTGGTAGGAGTTAACTCATGTAAAAGGAGAGAGAAGTATATTTTGGGGAGAGGACAGAACATATGCAAAACCCTTAGGGTGGGGAGGAAATAACATTGCAATCAAGAAAGGTGGCCAGGGCACAGGTACACAGGGCGACTGAAGGCTTATCAGCCAAATAAAGGCAACTGACCTTTAGCATGAGACGAACAGATTTTATTCTTTTTTTTTTTTTTAAATTGGTACTGGGGATCGAACTCACGACTGGCTGCTTGCAAGGCAGGTTCTTATGCCACTGAGCTAAATCCCCAGCCCAAGAAGAACATATTTTATATATTTGGGAGTGTCAGTAGTGAGGTGTATTACAATAGATCCACATGAGAGACATGACAGGAGCTTAGGCAAAGCAGGTGACAGAAGACGACATATTTCAAAGATAAGTGATTATGCAAATGTAACTAGTCTGAATTTCAGGGAAAAAATGTTTCATTTAGGATTAGAGGGCAAGAACCTACCTATATTTGCAAAAGGAAGATATTCGTCTGTTTTTTCAGACTATGTGGGCAAAGGGAAGAAACACTGAGTTACACTGGTTAAAATAGTCATCTATGGCAAAGTAAGATGCAACTTTTGTCAGGTATAATGGTACATCTCTGTTAATCCCAGCACTCTGGGAGACTGAGGCAGGAGGATCACAGGTTTGAGCCCAGCCTGGACAACTTAGAGATTTAATGAGATCCAATCTCAAAGTAAAAAATTAAAAAGGGCTAGGGGTAAAGCTTAGTGTGAAGGCCCCGACTCAACCGCCAGCATCAGAAATTGAGAAGAAAAAGAAGAGAAGGAGGAGGGGGAGGGAAAAAAAGGAAGAGGAAGAAGAAGAAAAGAAGGAGGAGGAGGAAAAGAAGAAGAAGAAGAAGAAGAAGAAGAAGAAGAAGAAGAGGAGGAGGAGGAGGAGGAGGAGGAGGAGGAGGAGGAGGAGGAGGAAGAGGAGGAGGAGGAGGAGGAGGAGGACGACGACGATGACGACGTCGACGAGGACAGCGACGACTACTTTTAGAGACAGTACAATGCACTTTTCTTTGTTGTCCTGGCTAGTTTGACCTGTATTTGGTTACTCACATAATTGAAATCTTTTAATTGCTAAAATCTACTTTACTTAATGTTCCATAAGAGGCCTTCATATACTATTTGGATTGCTTTTGCCTTTAGTCCTGAAGTTCTTATATATCAATTTCCACTTATGTTGCTACTGTGAGGTCTGAAATGGAACTTTAGAATCAACAAGAAAAAGAGCTTTCCCACCATGGAGGCTGGGGTCACAGGGGAAAGGTTTGGTCATTCATCTCTTCATGCCATGATTTTACTGCCAGGTTTGGCACTAACCACTGGTTTGAATACCCAAATTCAAATAAAACAGAAGCTGGGTGTGGTGCTGCACATCTATAATCCCAGTATCTGAGAAGCTGAGGCAGGAGGAATACCATGAGTTTGAGGCCAGCCTGGGTTACGTAGCGAGTTCAAGATCAGCCCGCATTACATAGCTATTCCCTGTCTCAAAAAAAAAGTAACTCAAAACTATAAAAATTCACTCTAAAATCAAGAATAAATTATTCCTGAGTCATCCATCATTCTGTATTATCCATGGCCCTATTCTAATGGAAAGTGTCATCCCAAGGACAATATCTTTAAGTATCTAAATACACATACCTTTTTACGTAATCTTAAGACTTACTTCACAGGGAGCACAGAAAGGTCTATTGAGGCTATTTTAAAATGCTTTTCTTCATGAGCATGTCCGATGATAAAAGTTTAGGCCTGTGGTCTCCTGCACTCACACAACCCGAGGACTGAATATCTACTGTTCTGTGGGACAATCTTTTAAAGATTTTAAAGATATCTCATGCAATATCCAGATATATTATTATTATAAAAAATTCAAAATGCTGGTCAGTCATAAAGGTATGATTTCCAGAGAACGAGTAAACACAGTTAGAAATAAGATAGTATTTAGAGCTGAAAAAAATCTCAAAAAAATTTTTTTTGAGACAAAGTCTTGGTGTGTAGTCTAGGCTGGTCTTGAACTCATACCCACGCTGGCATCAGACTCACAGCAATCCTCTTGCCTCAGATTACAGGTGTATGCTACCATGCCTGACTTAAGTTTCTTTTTGAAAAATCCAGACAATCTTTGTGATCCAGCAATATTCTTCTGTTATGAGATAATAATTTGAATCAAGCCAATAACTACAAAAATAAAGAGAATATGAATTTTCTTCTTCAGACTATTTCTCACTACACCCCAGTCTTCTAGAATCTTACAGTGTTAGAGAGTCTTCCATTCAGTCAAATGCAATTACTGTAAGGCCCAACAATTACTAGTGGCTCACCAGTGTAGGGTGAAAGATCTGAGGCCCACCCCAAGCCACTCACTTTCATTTCCCAATTAAAAAAAAAACTAGAGAGGAACCTGGAAAGTCCAATATTGCTAACTTACCGATCAGAAAGGGAGCTCCACAGTGCATGATTTCACATTGCCAAAGCAATGCCTCATACTGAATTTTATTAGACCTTAATACCCTGATAAGTCTACAAATAAGAAATCCTAAGTCATAGGAGAAGGAAATTCTATGGAACAGCAGACAACTCAGCTTCAAGTACTGGTAAAAGGAGAACTGAAGAAATCTGAGCTTTCAGATGAAACTGTAGTTCTTCAGGGGGACTCTCAAAGTCTACTAGCAGTCTTCAACCGAAAATTCCAGAATTATTCATTTATCAAATATTTACTTGCACTGCACACAAGGAAACAGCTTTGTGCAAAAAAGGCCTGGTCTCTACTCTTATGACGTTCATCAGCTAATAGGGTGACGAGCTCAAAAAATCATTAAAGAAATAATTACAAACTCTAGTGTTATGAAAACAGACACCTCTTTTGGTCAAGGCAGTGAGGAACAGCTTTGCTGGGGAAGTGATGTTTGAGTTTTGTCCTAACAATCAATCCTAAAGGAGGAGGAGGAATTAACAGAGCAGAATTGTGGATGGGAGGACTAGGGGTTGGGATGGCATCCAGGTGGAAGAAACTGTGTACAAGACCTTGGGGCTGAAGGAGCTCGATACGTTTGAGGAACTGAAAGGTGACCACTGTGGCTGCCGCAGCAGAGGGTGGGACTTGGGAGGGGAAAGCTGGTGTGAGACGACACTGGAGGGACAGGCTGATAGCAAGCCATGTGGGGCTGTTAGGGTCTGGATTTGTCCTAAGAGCAATGGGAAGCCCCTGGACTTTAAAACTAGAGGGTGCCTGACTGGATTTACAACTTGGAAAGATCACTGTGGTTATAGCGTGGAAACAAGTTGGAAGAAAGCAAGAGTGGTTCAGAGTTAGACAGGTGGTGCTTGAAATAACAGCCCCAGACCAGCCACAGCTGTGTCAGGCAGAACTTATTAGAAACGCACATTTTCAACTCTTCCCTATGCCCACTGCACAGCAAAATCTAGAAGCAGGCAGTCTGTTTTAATATTAAGCACTTTGAGGGATTCTAATGTGAACTCTGAGAACTGCTGGATTGTAATACTGATCACATATGTAAGGGGACCCCATTCTGAGTCCCAACCATTTTAACTGCCACCTGGTGACTACAAATATGGATATCCTTACCTCTTTAATTTTTTCCTTACAAATCTTATACTGCTTCTTCTGACTTTCCAAGAAAGTTGTCAAGTCTTTCTTCTGCTGGGCCAAGATCTGTTGCTGAAACTTCTTTTCATCTGCTGCAGCTACCTTTGCCTGAAAAAAAGGCCAAAGACGATCTGCGATGAACTTGCTTCTCACACAGAACTAAGCTGCCAACATAGTCTCTAATCAGGAGAATGGTCTAAGAGTGTGGGATGATTTATTTTGGAGCAAATATTAAAACATAAATAAACATCTTCTCTCACACTCTGGAATCTTAAAGAAAAAGTTTACCATTGAAAAATACATTTCCCATTGTGGGAAAAACATTTTACTGAATGCATTTTACTGAATTTATGGATGAAAGGATGACTACACATTATAATACAGGGGTTTTATCATATTGGGGGCAGCCTAATGGTCAAATTATAAAAATGGATAAATAAGCATGCCTGGCTAGTTTTACTCCAAGAATCAAACTCTAACCAACTGATTATTCCAACTATAGGTTTCCTAGTGGGATCATCTTAAGGATAAGAAAGCTAAGAACATTTTGTTTCCTTAGAGACCTGCTAGAATCTACAAAGGTCAGGCATCATGACATTTTTGGGGTCCTCCATGGGGAAAATGCAGACCAAATAAAAGGCAAGCCAATAATTATAACTCTGAACCAGGGATGGTGGTGCACACCTGTAATCCTAGCACTCAGGATGCAGAAACAGGAGGATCATCCCTGGGAGTTAAGAGACCAGCCTGGGCTACATAGTGAGTTCAAGGCCAGCCTGAACATAGTGAGATCCTGTCTCAAAAAACCCAAAAGAATAAACAAACAAATTTAGGACTCACAGAAATGACCAAATCTAACTTGCAGGAAACCATCAGATGAAGCGTATATATAAGAAGAGGGATTTAGGCGATAGAGAATTATGCTTCATGGCTCCTTCATAACTTTTCATAAATCAGTATTCCTTCAAACATGAGTGGTTTATTTAGTCACCATCACCACTGTCTGGGAGGAGCTGTTCACACCAGGCTGCCTCACACCCTGCTGGCTATTGGGGGAACACGGCTTCCATGAACTGATGATTTCTTCAGGTGGAGAGTAGAAGCTCAATCATGCAAACCCCTGAGAATCTGCTCACTCCCGCCTCACAGGGCCCACATCCATCTCTGCTTTTCCGCATAGCGTGAGTCCAATGGGGCAGGCAGCAGGGAAGGTGACTTAGTTTTAGCAGCATCTGAGTAAACAGGTGTGTTGAGTTTAGTATTACTAGGCCTGCTGTTTTACAGACACAATCTCTTCTCATTATCAGTATAAAGATGAGATTCTGAGTTTCAGTCTTACCCTTTTATTTATTTATTTTTTTAATTAAAGGGGCTGATGGTGTAGCTCCATGGTGGAACGGTATTTAACATGCACAGGGCCTGGGTTCAACCCTCAGCACCACCAAAATGAATAACTGAATGAGTAAGTGAACAAAATTTATTTAAAATCTGGATGAGAAAGAGAGATGTTCCCTAGAAAATCTACATACTGGCCAGATTATTTTGCTGTTGTTCTGAGTCTGGGTCTCCTTTACCTTTCCTGGTACTCAGGTCATGATCGAGGAACTGATGTTCAGAATATATTTGAATGGATTTTTTGTGTGCGTATGTCTTTTTGAGACAAGACTTCACCTTGTAGTTCAGGCTGGCCTTTAATTCACTACGTAGCCCAGGTGGGCCTTGAACTTGCAGTGATCCTTCTGCCTTAGCCTCCTGCATGCTGAGATTACAGGCATGTACCACCACGCCTGGCCTGGATCTTCTGTTATCACTGAATTACGTATTTATTTAGTGCTGGGGACTGAATGCAGGGCCACTATACCAAGTTATATCCTGTATTTCTAGTCATTCACCTTTTTTTTTTTTTTTGGTCTTGTGACAGGGACATGCTAAATTGTGAATTTAGGCTGAGTGTGAATGTGTGATCCTCCTGTCTCAGCCTCCCAGTGCGCTAGGATTATAAGTGTGTACTCCCATGCCTGGCCTAAACAATTTTAAGCATCACCTCCTCCCAGCAATGATGTTCCTCTTTTACCCTCCAGCCCCTGCTGACACTCTGCTCCTGAGCAGACAGGCTGGGCCTGGCTGCTGTGGAAGGCATGCGTGCACATACTGACCTCCTTTTCTATGATAGCCACTTGCTTCTTGGCCAGCTTCTCCAGCTCGATGGACGAGTTGTTGGCATGCGTCTCCACCTCCTTCTGTAGCTTGAGGCGGTGCTCGTCCATCTCAGCCTTCAGCTTGTTCTCCAGGGCGATCAGCTGCTTCTGGTGCTGGCGCCGCATCCGCTTATAACCTGACATCTGTTCCCGCAACTCGTTCTCCTGCTCATGCTCATGGATCTGCCGTGTAACCTGAATTGGGCCGGGAACAGAACTCAGGTCACTAGGTTTCTGAGACACCAACTTCTGGGCAAAGGAGAACTGTCTCACATTATTTATCATTCTCACCCATCGTCACCTCTTCTCTGCTCAATGCTTACCTCTGCTCAGTCTTCTTTATGTACTTCCTCTCTCTCATGTTCAAAACTATCTGATTCACAAATTCATTTTATAACTTTATGAGGCAGGTATTAACTGACAGATGAAGAAATCAAGACTTGAGGGAAGTATAGTAAAGCATTCAGCCCAAATGTGCTTACCTATTTTTGATATGCCATCATATTTTCACCCAAGGTCATGTAGCTAATAAGGAGTGTGGCTAAGATTCAGGCCATTTCTGTCTGATTCCACAGCTACACTACTTCTAGTATACCAGGACTGTTCAGCATAGATGCTGCTGGCAGAGGGCTGTTGGGGACAGCGGTCCTGTGTGGTGTGGGATGGTTAGTATCATCCCCAGATCTACGGAGAGTCAGCAGGAGCGCCCAAATCCTGACAATCCAAAGTGTCTTCAGACACTGCCAAACATTCCCAGGGGGGCAGAATCTCCTCAGTTAAGAAGCACTGCACTATTTTGTTGCTGCTGTTAGGGTTATGTCCCTAACAGTTACAGGGACTTTGAATATTCTTTGAAACTGTGACCAGGATTTATTTAGTTCCTATTGTTACAATGTAGTGGTGGTTTTTTTTTTTTTTTTTTTTTTTTGGTGTGCGTATCTTCTTTTAAATTATCTATTTTTCTGTAACCCCCTTCCCACAGAAGAGATATTAACAGATTATAACAGTTTTCTTCTAAAAAGGAGAAAGTATTTCTGTGATTTTTGGATGACTACTTTGGCTGGTAACTTCCTTAACTCATTCTCAAGTGCATATCTAGGTTGAAGAGTGTAAACAAAAATTGGAGCACCTCTTGTTTCTTTCTCCTGAATCTTTTGTGATTTCTCAGTCCTTCCTTCAGCTTGTCATCCCTCTTTACTTTCCTGTAAGATTCCCTGATCACTTCTTTCTCACTTTTCTATTTTAGAAAAAAATTGGAACTATAGAATTATAATTTTAGTGTTCTGGTTCACTAAGTGATTTATTCATTCTCATCTACTATAAGCCACTTCTCCCCAACTGAATCCATAAATAAAATTTACTGCAAAATTTCATGCTATTAATGCTCTGTACTATTTTCAGTTTATGGGTCAGAGTGCATTTTAGACAAAGAAGAGCTTGTTTCTCGGCTTTCTTTAGATGTCCCTGCACACTAGATTGAGTCCTCTCTATCAACAGAGTGCTGTTCTGTAATTGGATAGCATTATCAAAGTATACCACTGAACATTAGCTGAACTTTGAAACCTTTCTGGCTGAAACTACAATGAGGTTTCATACTCATTTCTCTTTTCAGGAGGACAATCATCCCTTAAAGTATAAGAAATAGGAGCAGAAGATAGTTCAAGATCAAAAAAGGCCAACATCACCAAAAAGGCTCTGATATTCTAAAGAAAGTGAGTGGTCTATTTTACCATTATAATAATATAATTTACTTATTTAAATTTAGGGTGCTGAGGATTGAACCTGGGGCCTTAAGCATGCTATACTCAAGCTGTACCTTTTAGCTACACCTTCAGTTCAAAGTCTTTAAACAAGAGAGAGAGCAGAGAACTGAGAATGGACTTACTTTCTAGATAAAAGGGAGGAAAGAAGTAGTTAGAAATATAGTATATATATATATATATATATATATATATTTTTTTTTTTTTTTTTTTGGCTTTTTGAGACAGGATTTCGCTATGTAGCTCAGGCTGACCTTGAACTCATGATTTTTCTGCCTTAGTCTACCAAGTGCTGGGATTACATTCATGAACCACTGTGTCTAGCTATGCTTATGCCTTTTTTAATTTATAGGAAAAAGAATCTCAGTCAACAGAAAGGATACCACTTAGTCCTGTCTGAATTCACTATTTTTATTATTATTTTTCTCTAGAAGAATGTGGTAGGGGCAGGAAAATATCTGTTCCAGGGAAATGAGTTTGATGTATACTTTTATGCAGATAGTTATTTTTCTTATTGCAGTACTGCTTTTCCCTTCCTTCCTTCCTTTCTTCCTTCCTTCCTTCCTTTCTTTTTCTTTCTTTCTTTCTTTCTTTCTTTCTCTCTCTCTCTCTCTCTCTCTCTCTCTCTCTCTCTCTCTCTCTCTCTTTCTTTCTTTCTTTTTTTCTTTTGTGTTGAGGACTGCACCCAGGGCCTTTGCCCTAAGTTACATATCCAGCCCTTTTTATTTATAGGCAGGGTCTCACTCAGTGGCAAATTGCCCAGGCTGGGCTCAAATTTATGATCCTCCTGTCTCAGCCCTCCAGACTGCCTACCAGGACATACAGGTACAATGCATGGCACAGACAAACAACAAAGCTCAATATGCGCTCATGGCATCCTGCTAAATCCACGGTAGGTGTTTTGCTTTTGAATGCTTCACACGATTTGAAAAAACATATTCTTAAACTCCGAATATTATCAGCTTCCATTTGTCACAATAAAACTTCCAAGTTCTATGTATTTTTTTGATACATATAGAAATACTAGATTTTTTTGCTAGGCATGGTGGCACATGCCTGTAATCCCAGCACTTTGGGAGGCTGAGGTGGGAGGATCATAAGTTCAAGCTCAACCTGGGGAAGACCTTGTCTGAAAATAAGAAACAAAAAAGAGCTGGGGATGTAGCTTAGTGCCAATGCCCTGCATTCAGTTCCTAGTACTGGAAAACCAAACCAAACCAAACATATTATGTTTTTATATTTCTGAGTTCAAGATAATTACATTTAAAAAAAACAGTATAACCAAGTTTTTCATTTGTGAAGTTTAACATGCAGTATATTAAAATATGCTAATTGCATTGCATATGCCTATGTGTTTCAGGTTTATATTGGGTATCTGAGGAATACAGCATTTGGTCAATAAACATTTTTTAATAAATAATTTTATTATGCCTTATGATCCCTAAAGTGCTATTACATAAAATTTACCTTATATGTGTGTATACGTGTGTGCACGTGTGCATGCATATACACACACACACATACATATAAATTTTTTTTCTTTTTTGAGAGAGTCTCATTATGTTTCCCAGGCTTGCCTTGAACTCTCAATCGTCACAAAAATGTTAAAGCTGGAGAATGGTAAGTCTAAATTACAAACAGAGTAATTCTGAGGATGGGAAAGAGAGAGATGTAGCACCGATCGTTTTTCACAGTGGAAGTCTTAAAATACAAGTAAATGTGGGCAGTGTCATCATGCCACACCCAGTGGTTTAGAGAAAATCCTTATTCTGTCTCTTCCTATACAACTGACCTTGGGAAAATGATTTAACTTAAAATCTTTCAGTTTCTTTATATGTAGAGAGGAACTATGATTACGTTGCTCAGGTTCTGAGACAGGATGAGGTAATACCAAAGTCAGAGTGCCCATAAGGTGTCTGACATGTAAGAAATATTCAGTGTACAATGGCTTCCTTTCTTCTCCTTCCAGGCTCTGAGAAGTATCTTTTTACCCTCTGCTTTGCATTTCTGATCATGGGGATATTGATTAGGATAACTGGGTCCAACAGTAAGGGCATGTTTAACAACAAAGCACCACCTGTATTCAGCTGGTGGATTTTAGGGTAAGCACAGAGCTGGAGCGTGCGGGACACTCCAGTAATCCCAGCACTCCGGGAGACTGAAATGCAACAGGAAGACTCTAAATTGGAGCCTACCTGGACAATTTACTGAGACTCTGTCTCAAAATAAAAAATAAAGAAAGGTCTGAGGATGTAGCTCAGTATGAAGGCCCTGAGTTCAATCCCCAGTACCACCAAAAGAAAAAGCAAAACAACAACATCAAAAGAATAAACATGGGGCTTGCAGTGGTGGTGCAGCTCAGTCATAAACCAAGTACTTAGGATGCTCAAGGTCCGAGTTCAATAAGTAATACCCAAAAAACTATTTATAATTTTTTTCTTTCTTTTATGTTTTTGTGGTGCTAGACTTCGAATTCAGAGCCTTGTGCCTGCTAAATGACTGAGTTGTATCTCTGGCCATGTGTAATTTCTGAATTTGAAGTATTACCCATTTCATATATTTGGAATATGTAAAGAATTATAAATAAGTAAGTAATAAAATAATAAGCAAAAGGAGGACTGAAACTTTTTTTAAACTAAGTTTCTATATAAGTTCAGGGCTATTCTCTTTAATTCCAGCAAAATTTGGCTCTAAAACAGACCTATTTACTCTAAGTGTGAATATGCCTACCATGTATAAAAACACTGCACCAGAAAGCTAGTAAGCAATTTACTGAACATAAAGCAGGAACATAGTGGCTGATAATGTTACTCTCTAACGAGATCAAAGCCAATAATAAGATTAATTATTTGTAAGAATCAAAATGATGCGAGTGATAAAAGTGGCCACTTCAGCACTTAGCACAAATGGAATTTATAACAAAATTTTAAAAAGAATACAACGAAGGGCTAGGGATTTAGCTCAGTGGCATAAGCACCTGCCTTGCAAGCAGGCAGTCGTGAGTTCGATCCCTGGTACCGATAGAAATGAAAAAGACAAAAAAAAAAAAAAAAAAAGAATACAACAAGTCCCACTTTGGAATTAGAGATGTGACATTCCACACTATACAACACCTAAGGAAAAAGTGTTTTAAATGTTTACCAAAAGTAATGATTGACTACTAGGCAATTCTGCCTTACAACAGAAAACATTTTAATGAATAGCAATGAAATGCATACTTTTAAATCCAAATCCTCACATCATAGCAGGGCTTGAGGAGACCTGATTTGTTCATTCATTCAGTGTGTTTACTGAGAGAGACTGGCCACGTGGGTTGGACATCCTGACTGGAGAGCCCAAGTGAAAAATGCACGGCAATGGTATTAGCCAGTTAAAAAGCCAAGAAAAAGGAGGGTGACAGGCAGTATTTTGATAAGCATCCTCTGGTATACTATCCAGGAAGACAACACACTTTCAAGCATTTAGAAACAGAAAGTTCCTATGAGCCCGGGGTGGTGAAAGAGTACTGCTGGGTCTCATATCTTTATTCTTACATAGCAAACTCATTAAGGCATCTGATTTCACAATTAGTTGAATAATTGGGCTACATTTTTAAGGAAATGTAGATTCCCCTTTTTATGGGTTTGTGCATTGAATCTGGTAAAACCAAATTAAAGAATCTACATTAGCATGAACAGAACAGTAACCATTTTTTCCTCCATGCTTTTCTAGGGACTCCAAACTAAGAGTTGCCTGCTTACGTCCCTCTCCTTAATGTGCATCCTGCCATAAATTGATCTGTCCTGGAGACCATTACATTCCACTGAGAATCCTTCATGAGCCACAAGCAGAACTGTCTGGTAGAAATACATGACCTTAGTGCTCTTTATGTTAACATCTACTATGGAAACTGCCAGCAACTTGGAGCATTACAAAAGTTTAAGAAGTGACATCAGATGTAGCAAGAGTTGGAATACTCTCATGGGTGACTAATGCAAGAAAACATTAGGATCTCCATTCACCAACACTAAAAATTCAAGTAAGGCATGCCTCAAAGAGCCAAGCAGACACAGTAGTAATTCTGAACAACTGCATGAACAACTCTGTTCTCCAGGTAACAAATGAACTCAGTATGAACTTGCTTACAGAAGAAGAAAAAGGATACTATGAGATATTCCTCCTTCCTAATTCTTCAAAATAAGGTCAATCTGCTCTGAGATTATAATTAAAAAATTATCATTCTAAAGTTTCTTCTGGTTTCAAGGCTGGTGGCCCTTCCTTTTCTTTTGTTACAAATGCAATTGTACAATGGTACATAATAACATAAAAATCTCAGCTTTAAGGTGCTCAAAAAATAAGAACATCTAGCAGTGAGAGCCATAGCTCATGGACTTTCTACCTGTCAGTAACTTTAATCAGAAGCATAATGTAGGAATAGTAAGGGGAGAACCATAAAGCTAGGCCTTATTTAGATTTATGTCAGAGGTACATTCAAAAAACAAATTTAGAGAAAGTAATATTTTTTTAGGTGAAAATTGACTTAAAATATATTCTCATCATTTATTTCATAACTATTTTATAGAAGAAAATTTCTAAATTTCTCCTCTTTTTACTGCTCACTTTGGGATCTCTCTGCAGCTTGTTAGCACCTCCACCAGAATATTATAAAGAAAGAATAAAACCAAAATCGATCAGCCGATCAATATAGTGTTACTACCAACTATGAGAAGTGAGGTGCAGTGTCAACAATGACTTGTTTATTCATTATATTAGGCCTTCATTGTCATTTTTAGTACTTCTTTTATGTTATTTATGCCATTTTAGTTCTTTTCATTTGAGCTGGGATCCATTAAAAACAATAGAATTCATAATATATTTTGAAAAATTAAATACTTCCTTATGATGCTTCAATGTCCTGACTTAAACATCCTATTGAAAATAGCCTTCAAATTAATATAATGGGTAGTAAAATTGTAGTATGTGAAAATACACATTAAAATAGACATACCAGTAACTATAGTGTCCAAAATGGGACATGGAATGATGCAACATCAAACTACTTTTCCCTTCCATTAATTTATTCTTCCTCTCAAAATCATGAGATACAAATATCACTGAATTCTGATAAACTTCCACAGATCCCAACATGTCTTCTAAAGCATGACCTTTGGAGACAGTATACCACAAAAACAACTTTTTTTTGTGACCAAAGCAACAACCCATCAGCTACTCTGTTTTTAAATTAATATAGGAGCACAGGCCTTTAGCAAATCCAAATTCCATCACAGATGGATCCTGGCAGTTCCCTGGATGGACATCATGAATGAAGCCTGTGGGATTCAGAGGGCTCCTGAGGACTTTGCCTATATCCTGGAATGGCCTGGTATGGAAGCAGCTTTTATCAGCCACAGAGAGGAAGACTGTGATGGCTGATACACACACAGAGTAACCCTGGGTGGTTTCACAGATGCCTGTGTGAGATTATTTTGGCATGGCTGTAGTAATATCTTACAGGGAGGGAGAAGAGTCATGAATATATGATGGGAAAATGAGGGTGTGGCAAGTGGCAAAAGATGGGAACCTGTCCCAGAGGGGGGAAATCCACTTGGAAGAATGTCTGCTTCCATGCAAAACCTGCTGATAGTGCTAAGGCTCAGTGGCTCTTCACCATCTCTCTTCCAGCTTCAGCGTGAGCAGTTTGGATAAAGGCACAAGTCTCATAAGAGTCTGTGGTAAGTAGTAACGGTTCTCTCAAATGCCATATTTCTTCTTTTGTCAGATACCATGGCATGGAGGTAATTATTATTTAATAATCCCATGATGCTTTATTTGGACTCCAAAGCACATTTTTAGGTGCTTAACAATCATTAGCAAATACATAGTGGACATTTTAAGATCTCCATTACACACTACAGCCTTCCTTTCAAATGAAAAATTGCCCATCAAACAGATTACATGAAATTTCTATATAAAGGAACTTAAGAGTGGGATTATTTATAAGCAGTCTAAATTAAATTGCTTGCTTTTAGAAAGCAGCAGGAATAAGCAATATGTAGGTGCTTTAACTTCGATTTTCCTTATATTTGGATTTTTAAAGACTGCAACCCAGTGCACATTTCAAAGGTAATCAGAGCCTTGAAAACACTTGACAAATAAAAGTAGAAATCAAGTTTGAAAAATAGGACAAGAAAAAATGATCATTTCTGGGTCGGCCTTGGATGATGTCATCATAGGCTCTAAATGTAATAGCCAAGCAGAGTATACTAACTCTTTGTGCTCATGTGACCTCTAACATCAATTTGGCAAAACAACTAATATTTCAAGAATTTTTTTGGCTGGGAAGTGAGACCAAGGAGGAAAAGAATAAAGAGAGTTTAGAATAGCAAGGATGAAATGTGTGTGTGTGTGTGAGAGAGAGTGTGTGTGTGTGTGTGTGTGTGCACGCGCATGCGTGCGCGCACGCTCACGCGTGGGGGGGGATAAGGGGAGGAGGCATGAAAACTAACTCTTCCAGCACACACCCCTTTTGCTACTACAAGGGCATCCAGCAATCACATTTGCAATAGTAAAAATGCTGAAGAATCCTACAGTCTCTTTTCTTCCACAATCATCCCTACCCTCTCCTACAAAACCTTTCTTGCTTTATTGATGCCAGGAAATTCTTCAGGGGTTAAATGGGGAAGTGCAGCCCCTACCATTGTTGCAATAAATAAATGAATGAACCAGAACGAACTAGCAATCCATCCCTGGGAAGCAAGGATCTGGCTTTTCTAAATTACAGATAGCAGTCAGCAACCATATATTCTTAAAAATTACCTTTTATCTTTTGATGTGTGTGCGTATTATAGACACACATGCATCTATACAAAAAAAAAAGCATAGTGCTCTGCACAATATACATCACTACCTTTAACAATATTCTTAGCATTAATGATTTCAATGAAAAGACTGATAGCTTTAAAAAATTGCATAGGCTAGCCACTCATCTCAAAGGCCTTATATTTTGCATATACAGTATATACAAATACACAGACACAATCACAATCACACACAATCACACACACACACACACACACACAAAAGGTGTTTTTTCCCCATGCCATAGACAATGCTAAAATATCTGAGATCAGGTTGCTATGCCAACAGATTCTTTTTTTTTTTTAAATGAATAAAATTATTAGGAGGGAGAAAACATTCTTGACTCCTTTCTTTTCCATCCATGGAGCCGTGAGAGGCTCAGGGAGGGCGAGAGGCTGCCAGACTGGGAGGAGGGGAAGGAAAGGAAGGTGGGTAGAGGGGTGTTTGCTTACCAAAGATGCTGATTTGATCGTGGCAAAGCGCTCTCGGTTCCGGTAGTGGAGGGCCTGGCTCTGAACTGACTGGGTAGGCCGCGGCTCAGGCCTGGGATCGCCGTGGCCCGCCTCATCCCTTATGAATACATGATCCTGCAGAAATGGATAAAAACAAGGAGAAAGTCCAGCTGTGCTCTTTCCTCGCCGGCTGCCTCTCTCTCACCCCTCTTTCTGCACAAGCACTGCTGTTTGAAATGCATAGTTTAGCTCTCTGCTAGTCCCCGCAGCTCCCACGGTACAAAATGAATAAGCAACACATTGCAGCCTTCAGTTAGGAATGTCAGCTGATCGCTAGTGGGATGCCTTCTGAATCCCTGGCAGGCTTTTTCTTTACCTCCAGAATTACATATATGCAAAAGAAAAAAAGAATAGAAAAAACAATGCAATGTACAGACTCCTTAGAACAGTTTGCTTAAAACGCTGTAACCAAATAATTCCTTTAAAAATGTCATGTCCATGTCTAGCAAGGAGGATGCTGGTGGCTTTTAACATAAAAGCGAGCCTCCGCCTCATTCCCTTGAAGGATCTGCGTTCTCAGTTTAATTTTATTTGAGATCTGGTCGGTAGGATCATCGTTCTGCCTAGAGTCAGTGGAAGCTTGTGCTGAACTGCCTCTCTATCTTGTGCTGGGAAGATTCGGCAGTCACTGAGGGATCCTGCTTTCCAGTCATGATCGTACACAGTTCTAGCACCTTCTCTCTACAGCTTCTGAAAGGATTTTTTTTTTTTTTTTTAGATTTAAAGAGACAGGCATACAATTTCAACCAACGGTACTTTCACAATTTCTCCCTCAACTCAGCATTGGTATGTCACCAGAGTAGGGAAAGCTGGAATTTAATGCCCTTGATTGATTTAATCAAGCCTATGCTTTTTGATAGGGAAAGATGATTAATTTTATTCTAACGCCCAGTGAAAAATAACATTCCCTGTTAGAATAATAATGGATGTTTCTTAAATGCATCTGAAATGACTTTTAAAGGGGAAAATGCTTTTAAAAGGAAGACTCTTCTCTCTATAAAAGATGAAGTGATCAGTCAGAAAGCAGCATTAGCCCTTCAGAAAAACAAGACCCTCTAGTAATTTTCAGTTTTAAAATATGTACAACCATGGGGGATTTTTAGATGGCACATGTTCAGGATGGGGAAGGAGAAATTAATTCCTTATTCTCCCAGAAGAAATCATTTGAGAGAAGTCAGTTTTGCATTTTGCCCATGACTAGTTGAATTTTTTAAAAAAATAATTATCCTTTCCATCAACAGAAAGCAAAAACTAAAGAGGTTTACAAAATATAGAATTTTATTATCTGAAATTTTGAAAAGTTAATATACGATTCCTTGAGGAAAATTAAATTTTATATCTAGATTTTTATGTAAAAGCCACAACCTAAGATTAAATTTATCTTTAAACTGATTTTCTTTTATACACTTAAAATGGTTTGATATGTTGAGAAGGTATTTATTATTACACCTATGTTTAGACTTCTCCCCATTTCTGTGTTATTATAGTTCAAGTAATGAAGAAATCTTTAATAAATTTGTCGTTGTAGGTATAGATACCAAATTTAAGGGAAGTTCTACAGGTATTATTGTCCAATAAGATAGTCACAAGCCACATGAAATAAATATATATTTAAAAATAAACAACATTTATTTGTTTTTGTGGTACTGGGTATCTGAAAATTAAACCCAGAGCTGTCACAAATCTACAACACCTGTGTTTTTTACAGACAGGCTCTTACTAAGTCATTAAATTGCCTGGGCTGGCCTCAAACTTGAGATTCTCCTGCCTCAGTCTCTCTGGTGCTGAGATTACATAGATGAGCCACCACACCTGGCTCAAATGTAGTATTTTATCTTTTAATATTTATTTACTTACTTATTTATTTTGAGGTAGGGTCTCTCTTTGTAATCCAGGCTGGCCTTAAACTCACAGTGATACTCCTGCCTCAGCTTCCCGAGTGCTGGGATTATAGGTGTATGCCACCTTGCCTGACATTGAACGTAATATTTTAATTGAAAAGAGATAAAATGTAAAATTCAGTTCCTAAGTCATACCAGCTATATTTCAAGCCCTGTGTGGCTATAATTAATAGTTATCAGAATGGATAGCACAGATAGAGAATGTTTCCATCATTGCAGAAGGCTTTTTTAGACCATACTTTTGGTTAAAAATGTTATTTATTTATTTTGGTACTGGAGATTGAACTCATGACCATGCAGTTGCTTATTCCCTGGTCCTAAAAATGTTATCTTTTCTCCTTCTTTTTTTTCCCTTGGTGTCAAGGATTGAACTTGTGACCTTGAGCATGATAGGCAGGAGCCTGTGCCACTGAGCTAAATCCCCAAAAATGTTATCTCTTAACCTATGGGTTTGAAACAAGAAAATGATTGAAGGATCAGTTAAGATTATTCTGTATGACTCGGGGTGGTGGTAAATGGCTGTAATCCCAACACTTGGGAGACTGAGGCACTGTGAGTTTGAGGCCAGGGTAGGTGACATAGTGAGTTCTAGGCCAGGGTGAACTACATAGCAAGACCTTGTCTCAAAAAACAAAAACAGATTATTCTGCATTATTTCCAGGAAACCTGACTTATTTAATGTGAAAAAGCAGCTGGTATGTGACTAGGATTAACACAGTAGGCGTAAGGTTCTTTTCTGTTTTTGGAGTCAGTGTCTTACTATGTAGTTCAGGTGGGTTTGAGCTTACTGTATGTCCAAGGCTGGCCTCAAACTCCAGGTAATCATCCTGCCTTGACTTCCCAAGTGTTGGAGTTAGAAGTGTATGCCACACTCCAGGCTAGGTGTAAGGCACTAAAGAGGATCTACTACATTTTACCACTGTATATTGATTAACATATCATATTTATGTCTAAAATTGAATTTACTTAATCCTAGAGAAGCACGCAGCTTTTAAATGACCAACTAAAGATATACAGAGGTAGAGGCCTTTGGTTTTATAAGCAGCTTTAATAGTTTTGGTGAGTATTCATTGGCTAGCTTATTAAGTATACCACTGAGACATAGACCTCAAATATGCAGCAGTTGCTAAGTTTCAAATTATAGTAAACTGATTTACAAAGATAACCAGGGACAGCAGATCAAAACAGAACTTAATGTGCACAATTATATGTATATATAGTTGTATCAGTTTGTTTTATCTCTAATAAAAGTTAGTATTTTTTTTTTTTTGGTCTTTTTCATTTTTATCGGTACCAGGGATCGAACTCATGACTGCCTGCTTGCAAGGCAGGTGCTTATGCTGCTGAGCTAAATCCTCAGCCCCAAAAGTTAGTATTTTGATTTTAGGATCCTGCCTATCACATCACAAGTCATCCTACATTTTTTTGAATTTATTAAATGTGCCAGGCGTGGTGGCACATGCCTGTAATCTCAGCACCTGGGAGGCAGAGACAGGCAGATTGTTGCAAGTTCAAGATCAGCCGAGGCTACAAAGTGAGCCCACGGCCAGCCTGAACCGCATAGCAAGACCCTGTCTCAGAAAAAAAAAAAAAAAAGTTCATTAAATGTAAAGAAATCTAAATAAATTAGAAGAGTTAAAACTCAAAAATCATATTAATTTTAGCTGACATGTACATAATAACCCAGTAAAATATTTTAAGAAATAATGCTATTTTAGAAGTTACGCTGAAGGACACACACAAAATTTTAATCTATTTTAAATATAATTTTGCTTTCCTTAAATTGTTTGTCCTTTTGTAAACTAATTCTTAGTTTTTCAAGGATAGTTTTATAACAAAGATTACCATCACTAAAAGTCTTAAAATATTATACAAAGAGCAATAAAATGGGGTAACATTTTGGCTTAATAGTAGATAATTCATTTCAAGTGTGGTTGGAAATGATTTTTTTTTTGGGGGGGTCATGCTGGGTATCGAACTCAGGGCCTCGTACATGCTAAGGATGTGCTTTATCACTGAGCTACATCCTCCATCTCAGGAAACGAATTTTTAAATACTCAATTCCACTACATAAAAACGTGTTCCAAACTCTGAAGACAACTTAATGGAGCAATTTAAAGGTGAGGGGAATGTGACTTAAGAAGTAAGCCCAAACAAATTAAAGCATCAGTTTTACTGGGTACGTTGTTGCTGTTAGCGATATTGCTTCTTTAAGTAGCAGTCCCTCTGAAAATGACTCCTACCCCTGGCTCCAAAACTTCGGAAATGCACACATTTCAAGATTAATAATGGAAAGTGTCTATTTGCTATTTGATATGGTTAGGCAATAGATGCAGACTATTTGCCAATGATGATGACAGGGAAGACCTTTTCTTTGAAGAATGATTTTAGAAGATGAAGAACAAATATCATGTTCTACTTTACCAAGACCAAATATGTGGCTAGGATGTAATTTATCTTTGAATCATTATCATCCAGAAACAAACAAAATAGTTCCTTGAAATTCCAATAGGATTAGGAATCAGTTTTAAGTAAATCTATGTTAGCTCGATACATTTATGACATTCTTTCATTATAAAAGATAAACTTCCGCAGATTAAAAAAGCTGTCATAATGTTTGCTCAAAATATTTAATGGAAAGAATTAAACTTTTATGCATGGTAGTGAAATATACGAAGTAGGAGGTACAAATGTTACTATCATACCCTGGACAAGAGGGTTTACTTTTATTTAGAAGTTGCTCTGGGCATCGGGCATACTTCAGAGAAGAAGATTCAGGGTGCGGTCACCTGCCTGTGGTTCACAGGAAGTTGAACTTGAGCTTGGAAGTCACTTCTCTGCATGCCCATGTGTCTGGGGTCTCCCTTTATCACAGTGCTCATCATACTTACTTGTCTGTGTCTGTGTGAGACTGAAGGCTTTCTGAAGGCAGAGAAAATGTGGTATGAAAAACCCTCAGTCCCCTCCCTAGCACCTGGCATAGTGCTTGATACTTAGTAGGCATTCAGTAAATGTTTGCTGAATAAATAAGCTCAAGAATGTAGGCCTGGGAGGCTGTGAGAAAATGACATTTTCTCTTGGATTATTTAACAGAATTCAAATTTGTCTTTCATAAAAACCTGCCACTCTCTGTACTCTTAAAGAAGTTGTAAAATAGTGACAATACACTTAAAA